ACAATTGAAAACACAACTGCTACACTCAACGCCACATGTGTGTAAACACTTACAACATAAAAATGCAACTATTTAAGCACATCTCTGCTTTTTCAAAAATGTATTTGCCTTTAAGACCATGAAACACATTTTAAACTAGTGTGCTTAAACTGTTTTCCAAAATAGTTGCATTTGTGGCCTAAAATCAGTTTCTTTTCTCATTAATAGTTTCATTTCATCTTTCAAGTAAGAGCAGATGCTGTTAGAGAACTCTGCACCACAAGCTGTTCAACTGTAAAAGCACCAACTTCACACTCTATAAACTTGACCAAGCCTGTAATACATTTACAAGCAACTATCACAGCAAAAAATATGCTGTTAGAAATTCTGACCATGTTTAACATGTTTAAAATTAATAAGTTAGAAAGTGTTTTTTTTTTTTTCAAGCAACAAAAGACCATTTCTCTAAAAGTGATACAGTACATGATCTCGTATGAGACAAGGTCGATTATTTTAACATATTCGTCTTAAAAAGAGGCACGCTTTAACTTATTTCTGCTCAGACGTGATATACCGTCAGTGTTTGTCGTCCACATTACGTGCAGCTCTGTGAACTTGAAATCCCCTACTGAATGAGTCATGAATGCTCTCCTCTCATTGGCTGTCAGCTGTGACATCATCCGGCCAGTACTCGTCCTGCATGTAGTGGTTTGACGCGGCGAAGCTTGGCTCGTGTGGAGCGTCGTCATCTCTCAGCTTGTTCTGCAGCTCCTGCTCCCACTCACCCTCCACCAACTTGTAGAGGTCGAGGGCAGCCTGAGCGTCCTCCACTGAGCAGTGGCCTCGTTTTCCATCCTGGCCAGATAAGCACAGGCATTGTGGTCAGGGTTAACAAGAAACCCAACTACAGTCAGAAGTCAAAGAGGACCACAAAATACTGACTACACTTCAGTTACAGGTGCAAATCAATGTTACAAACTTCTTACTCTGTGGCAGCACCATCTGCTGTCCTTCCAAACCAACCTGTGACCTCTGCTCTTATTAGGGTGTCCTGCCTGGTTAGGCTGGACATCATAACAAGAAATGTTTTGGGGGTTTTTTTTCTCTCAGACATACTGGGACTGTGTTGTAAAAACTGTGAATTTCTGGTGACTACATCTTCCAATGTTCTTAAATTGTGTGTGGGAAATGTGTGACGGGTTAATGTGTGGTTCAAGTTCATGTCCCCTCCTGTTTACTTAGTGTTACAGATTTGTCTCTAAGATGGATCTGCTACTAATTCTCTGAACCCCACGCAGTTTCTGGGTGTTCTTTGTGACAGTCTCATTTTGACTCACTGTGGACTAATTTTTTAAAATGCAATATAAAGTCCTGCACCTCTACGGAAAAAGCACAATCATGATAAGAACACAAAAAAGTCTGCTGTGCAGTGAAACAGTTAGAATCCTAACATCGAGACAGATATCTAGTAAAGACACTGCTAGCAGCCAGCAAGAAGGCCATAACAAGAGAGTGGCACAAAGCTGACCCACCTACAAAGGAGCAACGGTTAAGAAAAGTGGAGGAAATACTTCACATGGATAGATTAACACATATATTGAGGATACAGGAGGGGAAGTTTCAGTCAAAGTAGGAAAAATGGGTAGAATATAAAAATAAGAGGAAATGACACCATAGATTAAGATATTTCACACGAGATCAGGGCGATGCTGCACACATTTGTAATAGAGGGCACTCCCATGTTACCATGTTGTTTTATTTTGTTATATTTTGTACATTCAATTGTGTTGATCTTTTTTACTCACACTCTGATATTGTGATGAATGTATACTTTCTCTTGGAAATTTGCTTAATAAAAATTAAGTGTCAAAAAAAAACAAACAGTTAGAATCCTATAAATCATTGAGAAACGAAAAAAAAAAATTCTTGTTTTAGAAAAAAAACATTTAAGTTGAAAAAAAAAACTGTAATAAACATGGACTTTTTCTTTTTTTTTTAAAGTGGTGACAACATCCAAAAATATTATACCATTTCTCATTTGTTCCTATCTGCTCTGTATTAGCACAGCCTGCAGTTTAGCCCAGTCTATCTGACAAGTCCTTGAATCCTTCTCTCATGACTGTTAGTTACAACTGACACACTTGTACTGGAGAGCGCAGGATTTTGTTTTTTTTTTTTTGTTTGGAGAATCTGGTTTGCTTTAAGGTAAATTAGTAGTGGGACATGTTGACCACTTGTGACATATGAATGGGCTCCTGACACTCACCTGTATCCTCCTGTTCAGCAGCTTACTGGCCAAGATCTTGAGGGAGGGGCAGCGTTCGCGGGAGAAACCGGCTAATCGGCTGAGGAGACGTGTTGTACCTGTGTCCCTGACCATGTGACCCGGATGGACCACGTCGAGTGCCTCGAAGTCATTGTAGATGGAATGGCCCACTACAACTTTACCCTCAAGTATCCTAAGGATCTACAAGCAAAACACACAGACAAAAATAAAGACGGGTTATAATTTAGTGCTGACAGTTCAGACTTATTCAGATCCTTCTGTCAGTGATATTATGGAGCAGAAGGCATCTTAAACAGAGCTGATATGTCCAAGACCTTTAGTCAGGAGGAGTCAGACTGCTGTGTTCAGGTACTTCTTGTTCAACCTGCTCAGCAGCTTTACTTCATCTTGACAGCATTCCACATTCCTGTTTGCTTTGACAGAATGTGGCCCCATAACTGAATAAGCTCACTCAGTAACAACTCCTGCTTGGTAGAGCTTAATATATTTGCATACTACTGCTTTACTTTTTCCAGCAACATGTTTTGCAATAGACTGTGTTTCAACCACACAAACAATGCTCCCTGGTGTCAAAAAAGCTACATCTGAGGGGCGCCCTGGAGGTCGAGGGCTTAAAGTCCCTCTCTGATCATTGATTAAACCCCAAATTACTCATCTCTGTTCATCAAAATCAGAAACATGATTGACAAGAGATTAACATATGCCCTGTTGGCAGACTGGATGCTGCAGTGACTCACCATCACCTGTCACCTGCAAATGCAGAAACCCCTACATGCTGAAAGGGCTGCCTCTAACAACTATGCCTCTATCAATGAATCAATCAACTAGGTCTACTAATCGACACGTTTCAGTCACTGTTTCACACTTGTGATGTTGTCTGACGACAGAAAAATATGTAAATGACAACAACTTTATTGGGAATGCAGCCGTATTAAAATACAGTATATGTAAACACAGAGAGCAGCTGAAAGATGTAAACTGTTTCCACACTAAACAGCACCTGTGTGTTTCTTTTCAGGTATTTGTGCATTGTGTGTGCAGGAATGTAGCCTAATATGGAAATAAAAGCAGTGCTCTGTTTACTTAAATGTTAAAGTGTCAACATGGATGTGTCTTCGCCAAAGTCATGTGTTTGTTCCTCTACAGGTGCGTTTGGATCTGGAGCTACACGTCCCTGATCTGCAGTCACTGGCCTCACCGATCTCCAAAATGTTCATCGCTCTCTTATTTTCTGTCTTTTTTGTAGTACTTGTCTGCATACAAAGATGTTGAAGACCTAAACCAGAGATCCAGGTGTTACAGCAAAGCAGGTCTTACCTCTTCTCTGGCCTGAGCGAAGGGTGTGGCATTGTGGAGGTGATGCCTCCGGATGCCGCTCCAGCGAGTCCTGAAATCTGTGACAGGCTGACACGGTCTGATGTATTTATCATACAGAAGGTTGCCGTGATAGTCCAGGATGCTGCAGCGGGCCAGCTCGCTGCAGTGCCCCCTGGGCCCCGTGCCCACCATCTCACAGTCCAACGCCACCACCGTGGTCAGACAAGAGCTGAGGCACGGTGAGCTTCGACCACTGGCTGGAGGACTGGCTTCGGACGAGAAACCACTGTCCACTTCCCAGCAGTCTCTCAGGGTTGTGAGTAAACTGTGGTGGTCAGCTGCTTTAGACACAGGCGCCGAGAGTTCGTCAACAGGTTTGCATTCAGAGTTCAGAGTGCTTTGATTTTCCTGATCTGTATCACACGGTTTAGTTTTTCTGATTAGGATATTTGTATCCAGTGGTTCCTGGTGGATGCATATTCTTTTTATCGTCATGTTATCAATGATCACCTTCTGTTGGCGCTTCTTCCCAACTCTTACATTCTCCATGGCGCAATGCAGCATGGGTTTTTTACATAAAAACCCGTAGTTGCTGAGAAGCCCCTGTGAGGGGGCTTTACACCTATTTGACAGCTCTGCCATCATTAAACGATAGAACAGGCCTTGCAGTCATCTGTGGGACAAAAAAATAAATAAAAATTTAGTGGACGACATTTAAACTTTTAAAATGTGATCATTTGCTCAGCATATATCATATCACTGACTTATCATTTACATTCAACTGACGGTTGACTGACTGAATGATTGTTGTTGTTGTGTGGAATATATGTTATATTGATTTAAAAAAAAAAAAAAAAAAAAGAGAAAGTGAGCTTTTACAAGATTGAATTTCCCTTCTGGGATAAATAAAGTATTTTTCATTTCATTTCATTTCATTCATTTACTCCGAAATAAAACGCGTGTGTGTTTTAATCACTGATGGGACTACCTTAGTTCTTAGTGTGTGTGTGTGCATGCAATGTGAAAAGACGGAATAGTAAAACTGATTAACAGTAAAACATATTGACTATGAAAGGAGGTAATGCCATTATTTTACAGCCCAAGTTAGATTTAGCACGTGTCCATGCAGAAATACCACGAACATTAAGAGCTGGTGACTGACAACAACAAACTGTCGTACGATGACTGTGATGCAGATTGTGAATCACTTGCAAGGCATTAATCAAAAAGTATGGGAGATATGAGACGGCCCTCAAATCCTTTAAAACTGAACAGCACATGACACCAAGCTCCGTTTAATTACGAGGCTGAAGTGGTTAATTAAACCTGTAATGATTTGTATGTACGACCTGTCCAGGGTGTCCCCTGTCTTCACCCTAAGTCAGCTGGGATAGACTCCAGCCCCCCGCGACCCTAATGAGGATTAAGCGGTGTATAGATAATGGATGGATGGATGATTTGTATGTACAACCCAATAAGAGGAACATCTGACTTGCACGTCTGTATTTTGAGACAGGCCGTGGCAGACAGAGAAGGCTTATGGTTATTTAGAGAAACATGCTTGCTGAGTTATGATGGAGCCGTTTTGAACACTGTCCGTAACAGCGGCGGCTCGTGTTTTCTGTCATGTCTGATTTGTCTGCAGCTTCGTCCAGCTTTAAGTGCCAGATATATCAACGAAGTTTGGTATTCTGTAGTGGAAAAACTAACCGACATTAAGCTAGCTGAGGTAAATCACGTTAAAACACGAGACAAAACGCCATTTTTTGAAACAAAGCATCCCACAATGTGAAAACAAAAAAGAAGCTCATTATTTCTAACCAGCAACAAAATACGTTAGAGAATTAATGACATTAAAAAGGACACTGTACATACCTTCGATAGTAACACGTGTATAGGCTCTGAACATGCCCGGACAGCTCCTCGCTGACCTCACTCTGATTGGCTTATTTTTCTCTTCGGTGGTAGTTTTCCAGGAAGTGAACTCCTGCAGAGTCGCCGCCTACTGGTCGGAGGCGCTAATGCCTAAAACAATGTTTGAATTTTTAACCAGCTCAGATTTTGGCCAAAGACACAAACAAGTTACACATCAAACATAAAACATTAAAACCTCATCAGTTTAATATGATGAGGGTTCAGTCATTCACAGAAACATAGTCTTCTACCTGCTGAATCACATTTAAACAGATTCCATCAAAAAGCTGTTGGACTTATACTGACTTATATTCTGCAAAACATTCAGACAACTCATTCAAACAACTCATTTGAGTTGGGTATTATAACATAACGCTCTAATTTTAGGCTGTGTCACTTAAATGGCAACTTGTATTACTTTCTAATAGCCTTGATTTGCCATATTGTTTATTTCATTTAGAAGTAAAACTGCTTGTATGTTAAAACCTATTTGGTGACAAAAGGGATTGTGATTAATCTGCAGTTTAATATGTTGAAGAGTCTTGGCTGTACATCAATGATTATCAACTTGATATTGAAAGAAAATAATTATATTGCACTATTTTCTACTGTCCTATTATCACAGGAGCAATTATTATTTTCCCATTTATTTTAAATTATTTTATAAACGGAATCATATTCTGTTCAAATTCAGTGCTCTACAACCACCAATATTGATACTCAAAAAAATAAAATTCTTAGTTTTATTTCTAAAACCACTTTGGACATGTTCTACGATGCCGTGGAGATAGCCTTCTGTTTTTGAGGTTAAACTTGTGGGTTGAGAAGGACCCGGTTGATTTGAGATTGAAAACCCCAAATTAGTTCATCAAAAGAAAAATAAACGTGTTTGATAACGTGATTTTTTGTTGAGTTGCTTACAGATGATACATTTTTATATCTTTAAAATTTAAGTTTGGGTTTTGGACTTTTGGTTGGATAAGACACATCTGAAAAGGTTACTCTGACTTCCAGGAACCGATGACAGGTGTTGATTTCCTTATATTTCATAGAATTATCTTTATTTAAATACACAGATACTTTCATTGTGTAAATCAGTCACTAAATGTAGTTACACAATCCTACAGTTTACCCTGCGCTATAAAACACTTCAGCACAGTAATGAGATCATACAGTTTGTTTTGGTTTTGTGGGCCTTTTTATTTCACAATCCTTCCAAATGTACAAAAACAAAGACGTGTTACAAAAAAAAAAAAAAAAAAAAAGCAAGCCAAAGAAAGAAAAAAAAAAAAAAAAAAAGGAGAGAGAAAAAAAAAGAAGAAAAATTACCATTACCATGAACCCCTGTGATGACGACAACAAAAACCACAGCGACAGATGACTGCAGACTGGTATGGAACCAAAGTGCATCAGCCTGAGGTGTAGTAGACAGACCGGGGGAAATAGAAATCTAAATTTTTCAAAAGCTGTCCCCTCTTCCCTAAAAATTTGTTTTTGTTTTTAAACATCGGGCAGACCCTTGCCACCACCTTTTCACCCTCCACAGTATTCCCAGAGCAGCAGAGGACCTAAAGGGAGGGCCGCGTCTTTTTCGGCTTCAGAGCATTCGGTAGTTCACTAAGAGAGTGGAATATAATTTAGTTCTTTCTGTTCCCCAATCCTCCTCCTTCTGTCGTGGTGGGGGGGGAGGGAGGATGTTGAGTTCCTATTTGGAGCTTTTATAGCTCGGCCTTGTCGTCCTTCTTCTTCTTCTTCTTCTTGGACTCCTCCTGCATCACTAAGGGGTTGGAAGCCTCCCTCTTCAGGTAAGAGATGAAATCGCTGACCTCGCGACCTCCCTGCAATGAGAGTAGCGAGATCATCAGCGGAGAGAACAGACAAGTACTCCCTTTGCTGATGTTTGCTGCAGCTGATACTCACCTCATATTTCTTTGGGCTCATCTTGCGTCCAGCAGGGGAAAAGTAAATTGTGGGGAACCTAAAAAAGCAAAAATCGAGGACATGCATAAAAACTTCACATCATTAAATTACCTTATTGTAGCGTCAGAGAACGATTTCTAATTTAAATTTGCAATGACCAGCACGACAAAAATGACATTCTTTATTAAGTTCTGTCTGATGAATCAAAGAACTGCATTAAAAAGTAAATGAAAGGGACTCAGACATTATAGGAAGCTTGTGGCTTATCCTGTCATAATTAAAATCCTGAGCAGGACTGTTCTCTGAAATCCACTGTTGAATTGCAGCTGGTTATACATTTTTCAAAACTTGCTGTCATCAACATTGCTGTTGCTTGTCTAGACACAATCTTCTTACATTAACAATATAAATAACATCTAATCTGGTTCTGAAACACCAATGTCATCAGTATAAGTACATATAAAACATACAGATGAGCAACATCAATAAAACATAAACCAGAACCACTCCCCATCCCGAGAGATTTGTTACACATCTTTTGAATAAATGCATCAGCCAATCTCCACCGTACACTTCAGTGTGCTGAAGAAGAATTTAGGTCATATATTTTGGATAAAAATGTGCTTTTAAATTTAGAATACCTTATTTCTTACATGCACAAAGCCTTAAGGCTAATCGAGGTCTGAAGGAAGCTTGAATGTTACACTGAGTGACGGATGACTCACCCGCTGACTTCATATGGAGACGGCACATCGTTGGCTGTGGCATCCATCTTGGCAATAACAACGTTGGGATCATCGGCCAGCTTTAGAAGAAGAGGAGAGAAACTGTCAGATGTTTGCAAGACAGAACGCTAAATCCTATTAAAGTTAGTTACAACAGGAGTCTGGTCCTTCACTTGTGCTGGACAACAGAAGCCAGAAAGCAAGCAATCCAACCACTGACTACAACAACATTAAAGAGCAACGGCATGAAATAGAGACACTCTTTTACTGGGTGACAGAACTATTATTTAGATTTTATTTATGATGAAAGTATAAAGTTCATACGAAGAACTGAGGACCTCAAACTGTTTCTGTCAACTTGTAAACTTTTGTTGCTGTTAGCATCATCTTAAATGTGGGAAACACTAAAATAGCAGTAGGTTGGCATCCCTCCCCTCACCTTCTCTCCCAGCTCATTGTATTTTGGCTCCAGGTTCTTGCAGTGTCCACACCATGGAGCGTAGAACTCGATCAGCACATCTTTGCTGTCGTCGTTGACGAGGGAGTCAAAGTTCTCAGCCACTACAACCTGAAGACAAACAGACGTAAGAAGTCATGTAAGAGTGGCTCATTTGCGTACTGGTCTGCTGGAGTATTTCTGGTGACACTATATTAATGCCTTTGACTCAGGATTTGAAGAGCCCCTGAGAGCCCCGCGATTAAACAGCTCATTGTCTGTCATAGTCTGCAGCTGCGTCTGAATGTGCCGTTACCCTTTGTCATAAAGCACACACAGATGAAGTTGGAGGAGAGAAGTAAACGTTCCAAAGCATGATTAAACTTGACTACACCTAATGCAGAAAATGTTTGTTGTCCCAAGATTAACAGATTATTTGCATGTAAAAACAGAAAGTTTGTAGAAACATTTAGCAAAAGTTAATTTCCATTAATAGCCCTTCTTTGGGGAAAAAAAAAATCCATAATTCAATGAGGGTCCAGTTCTGGGCCCCCCACCCCACTCTGGGCCCGGGACAACAGACCCGTTTGTCCCCCCCTATCGGCGGGCGTGCTTTAGAGCACAGAGCAGCAGGGTTTAGTGATTTCAGGACTGCAGACAAACTGTCTTACTTTAATTTCACAGTTTCTCTGACTGGATGTTGGCATAAGTGGGAGAAGAAGTTCTTCAACAGTTCAACTGTAAAAATATTGCCAAAGAAAACATACTGCATTGATTTTATACTAAAGAGTGAAAGAGGTTTTATTAGCACAGTGTACTGACATTTGTTCAAGGAGGAGTTTTTAATTCTGACATAATGCTGGACAAAAACACAATGCAGGATATTTTTTTTTATGATGCTGCCCACAGTGCTCTGATCGTCCCATCACAGCAACATTAGTGTCTATGAAGTGATTGGCTCAAAAGATTGCGTTCTTTTGCTGTAACCAAACATACATTCATTCATTTATTCATTCCAATTATCGCATTACAGTATAGAATAGCAATAGTGGTGAAAACCACATTTATTTGTGAACAGTGTTTTTTTTAGAATGTGTGTCCTGTTAATGTAAATCAAGCAGAATGGTGCTGTGGAAAAGAATTTCCCCACGGAGACAATAAAGTCTAAGTCTAATCTATAGGTTCAAAACTGTTTTTCCAGAGTGCTACTCAAGAATGTTAATATATATACAGTGCGTGAGAATTTCTCTTTTTTTATTGTGTTCCTAATTTATTTCTCCCTCTAAAAAAAAAACAAAAAAACAAAAAAAACAAAAAAAACAAAAAGGATGATAAAATACGGATAAGTGTACCGAATCGATAAGCAGCATCACTAAGAGTAGTACAACCGTTAAACTCAAATCGATTTGTCAACACCCATCCCTACCTCAAACTGTCTTGATCCTGGTCAGTACTAAAGGAACTAAAACACTAAATGGTAAATGTTTCAACGTGTCAATGGCAGCACATGAGCAAATATTGTGAAAAACAACTGAATCAGTAAAATCACAGACCCCTACACTGTTCTGGTACTGATTCAGGTCTTGTTTAGTGCCAACGCTTGTTTACTTTGTGTACCATCTTTTTGAAGATAGTACACCACAACTTTTTGAAGGGTGTCCTGTTTTTTTCCCCCCACTCATCACTGTGTTTACACATAACATGCTATTTCTATTTTTATTTTATTAAACAGCACAACTTGACCCAAGTAGCACACTTCACTCCAAAGAGACAAAATACGAATACAAGACCTATTGCATGTATCCGGCTACTTTCAGTAAATAAGAAACACATTTCCAAACTACCCCCCTCTGTGCTCCACACACTGAGGAGGTGTGAGCAGTAAAACATCTGACTGGTTTTGCGCACATGTCGTTGGGATTTAAAATGAACTTGGCTCATCAGTTCCTTCACTTCAACACAAAAAAGAGGAAATGGGGATATATAAAAAGCATGTTGAGAGGAAACAAAGACCAAGACTCGGTGCAAATCTTAACTAGGTTTAAGTCAGAATCATCTCACCTTGACAGGCCCATCGTTGTTCTCTGGAATGGGCTCTGATTTGAGGTAGCGCTTCAGCTTGCCATCAAAGTAATCCTGCAGGAAACGCTCCAGAGCTTTTCCATCACGACTGGTGGAACACAAAAGACATTCAAGTAATCAGCAAAAGGTGGAGAGTGAAACATATAGAAACAACAAACCTCAATGTTTAGGTTCGAGGTGGAGGCCACTGCAGTAAAACTCTATTACTTTAGTGATAATCTCCTTTGTAGATCAGTGTGTTACCATGTGACTGTTGCACAACTCATCTTTTTATAACCTTTTAGGATTTTACTGGCTCATGGCCTTTGGGGTGTGACTACTGGGGGTATTAAAGTAAAATCAGACTCTGTGTTACCTTTTTTTGACAGATATGTGCTTTTTCCTGTTATTTCTGATCATTTGATAAAAAATCTATTATGCTTACCAAAACTGGATGTGTATTTTTATTATTATCATTCTCAATTATCATTTTGGGGAATTTTCCTGTTTATGCTGGCTACGGCCTCTTTGTGTTGGAGTGAACGGGTGCCTCATGTTACTTTGCGCAGGAAAGACGATTCACATCAGTGCAACATCAAGACATAACTTCAGCAAATCCAAAACACTGCCACCATGGCTCTCATTCTTGCACCGATATGTCAATACGATTCAATCAACATTATAAAGTCACTGCAAATACAAGTCAGACCTGCATCTTCTAACTGTACTGAATAGTGTTACTACGTTACATAGCAGGACTGTGTGTTAAAAAGAATTCAGCATTCTTTAAAGCCAACTAGCTAGTTAGTGAGAAAGGGTGGGTACAAGTTAATGAATCATTATGTGTATGCTATGGGTGGTGAATTTGGGTGTTTACAATGCTCTTGTGAAAGCATTTATCTGAACTTACGAGAACTCCTCATTCATGACGTATTTGTCTCCCTTGGCAGTGCGGATGGCCACCAGAGGCAGTTCTCCTGAGCTGCTGTCGAGTCCAAACTCAGACACATCGTGGTTGAAAATCATCTTGTTGGCTACAGCAAAGTTCAGCTTCTTGCCCTGATCCAGGAAGCCCTTTGCCACCTTCATCACCCTGTAAAAGGTTAATTTGGTTCAAGTCATGCTGCTGAAAATGAAGATCAAAGTAACATCTCAAGAGATGCAACGGTTTAACTGCTGCAAGGGGCGATGTGAAAAACAGGTGTTGCTTTTATTTCATACTCCTTCTTAGAATGTGGTACACTGCTGCAGAAGAAAGACGCACAGGCTTGTGTGCAAAGAACCTGTGAGATTCAAGATAGAGCTGAGAGAGTCAACAGCCACCACTGCACGTTGCTGAGGAGAGAACAGACCTAGAGGAAGATCAGAAACACCCACCTGTTCCTCCAGTAGTTAGAGCCCTTGGGGTTTTTGTCGTAGTCGACATCATAATAAGCCACCAGCAGGTCTTTTCCCTTCAGCTGGTCTTTGTTGTCGTCCGTCATGTGGGGACAGATTCCAAAGCTGATTTGAAGAACACCATAGTGGATCAGTTTACAAAGGAATTTAAACATACAATGTACATTCTTTTAGACATCTTTTTATAGATACCCAACAATGTAACAATTGCAAATATTTAATTTCACATCTAGGAAATTACACAAACTGCCAAGCATACTAAGATTAACAAGTCAATGGGGTATCTTGCATTATGTGAGTATGTGAGGCTCTTCTGCAAACCTTCTCACAACTTAGTGGGAACATGGGTAAACCATACATAGGTGAAACAAGCAGACGGCTACTGTAATCTCTTTTGTTTCATTTTCAAGTGAAAACCAACGTCTTGTGACAGATGCATTAAAAAAAAACAAAAACAAAAAAAACAGGAAATAGCATGATTGTTCGATTCACACTTACAGCATCCTGTCCAACCCACTGTGTTAAAAACTTTGGTGAATCCAGTTTAGATTATTTATTTTTTTGTTCTGGTGTTGGCCAGATCAGCCTGTTGTACTTTCACTGTGTTACACACATCATTTACAGTGTACAAGTCTGTATTTTATAATCTGATTTAATGTTTTTCTGTTCAAATAGGAGAGTGAATTATATACTTAGCGTTCAAATGTGATGACAACAGTTTATTAAGTCCAATATTAGGTCCACAGTGTCAAAATTTATTTCCCAGATTTATCAACCAGACTGTCTGAACTGAGCCATGGCTGACTGGACACATCACCTTCTACATAAGGTCCTGCTGGCACCGGGCCCTGTTAGCAAATATGTACCATTACTATGCAAGATGACTGTATCTTCCTGCTGCCACCAATACCAACAAAGTAAACACAGTTTGCCATGTGATCTGTGAACACAGATGACAGGATGCAGTTTAAGAATACAATCATACTCACATGTTGTCTTGGATAAATCTCTTGACTTTGTTGCTGGTGAATTTTTCCTCACTGAACTTGACTGAGCTGTCCTCAAACTTGTTGCTGAGTCGTGGTGGACGGAATAGGACAACTCCACTGTAAACCAAAAACAGAATTGTCACTGTAGTCTTGCCACACTGACAGCAGCAACAGCTGTGTTGGTACGATCAAGCACTTGAAGGTTACTTTTATTAATTTTTATTTTTTATTTTTTTTTCAAAAATCTGTCATAGTGGACGTGTGTTAAACCAAGAATGATAACTAGGCCAAACACAGAATGAGCTACTCACTCTCCGGCAATGCCTTGACTCTGGAGAAGAGCTTCAGAGTTGGTGTGGGCAAACCGGTAGTTGTCCCTCAAGGCGCTGGCTGCCTTCAGGAACTCTGCCTGTGATGTGCTCTTGTCATCAGCAAAGAACCCTGTGGGGGAAACATCAATTACATTCAGATCAGGAGACAGCATCCAACATGTTTACTGACAGAGCTATACCACAAAAACATCTGAACATTTTTTTTTATTATGCAAGACCTGCTGTCTTGTGATATACTGTCAAATCCAAACCAGAGGCAGTGAATTTAAACAAACATGTTACTAGTGAGAGATTTAATAGCAAAGTGACATTGGTGGCTTGGGGAGGCACTCACTAGAAAATTAACTCACCAACAACACTTGCATCTTGATCTGCAATAAACTTCTCCAAGTCTGCATCGGCCTTTAGCTCCACAGACGCTGGGCCAGCCTGCTTCTTCAGGAAGCTGACGATCCCATCTAGAGAGTAAGAGAAAGACAGAGGAAGAAGGCAGATAGAAGGGAAGGTGTGGAGAGATAAAAATAAAAATAGCCATGAGAAAGCAGAAATATGAAGATATACATTGAATTTGTTTAGCTTAACAGGTATAAATATATAAAAAAGGACAGAATAGAATACCTGAGGTCCTGGGACCATCATATGGACCAGTTTCCTCTCCATCCCTAAAGATCTTTAGTGTCGGGTATCCACTGACACCATATTTGCTGCATGTGTTGCTGTTGGCTGTGCAGTCAACCTAAGGGGAAAGAAAATGATTCACTGTCTGACGAGGTACAGAGAGCACTACAGGTCAGAGTGCAGAAAGCCACAGTAAGTAGACAAAGTTAAGTTGAACTGCATTATGCAATACCTTGACCAGTGAGACGACACCTTTTAGTCGCGTGGCCGCTACCTCATACTCAGGTGCTAGTCGCTTACAATGGCCACACCTTAAGGAAAGAGGATATGGATCAGTCAAAAAGGAGAGCACATTTCAGGTTTCAGCTTGTGAAGATCCTATGGGAAATCTACCGATTTCACTGCATTGGAATTTAATACCTCTGATGTAATTCAGTGGGGGTTTGTAAAATGTAAAGTATGGAGAAAAAAAAAAGGATTCATGGGACTAAAAGTAATTTTACTTGAAGTTAAATAGTATTATGTCCAGTCCAAAACCCAAAGATATTTGGTTTATTGTCACAGACAAGTAGACTTTCAGGAAATATTCACATTAAACATTAAACCCTGTAACTGTTTTGGCGTTTTAGTTTTAAAAAGTTACATTTAGACTTTACGTAGAACAAAATGTTGCATTTAGTGTTTAACATTGTAACAAACACTATACTGATGCTGTTTCGTTTAAGTTTTGCACAGTGGCTCACGTCAGTGTTCTTCCGGACCAATCAGAGGTGGACACCAAAACTTCTCTAACCAATCACATCATTACAACAGCATGAGGACACACCCCTAACTTCCTCATAGCCCCATTTGTACGTAGTTTCCATTGAAAAAGATTCAGAATAATTAAAAACCACGTCCCAACTTAGTGTCTAACATATTTACGCTTTAGTGTATTAAACTCAAACTGTGGCTGTCCTAAAATCGCTGGTCCACCTTAAAAAAACGCTAACAGTGCAGATAATTAGCGTACACTTTTCCGCCTGTAGCTAACATGCTAACACTTGGTCCCTAGCCAATTATCCAGACAATTTGACAGAACCGACTCTCTTCATGTTAGCGACTAACAGAGATGCAATTAGCATTTTCTACAACAAAACAAGTGCTTAAAAACCCCCGAAGATGCATTCACGGTGTTATAACTTCTGCAAGTGAACGTCACTTACGTTAAACACGAAACAAGAAAGCTAGCGTTAGCATTTTTCACGCTTGCAAACAATTTATTCCCCAGACAGTCTGAACACATTGCTAGAAGACTCACCAAGGGGCAAAAAATTCCACAAGAGCGAGTTCATGGTCTCCAATTTTGCTTTCGAAATCGTCATCCGTGTAATCAAGCACATCACTGGCCCGACTGAGCCCCGCGAGAGCGGCCAAAAAGATCAGCCTCAACATCGCACACTGCGCGACCTAAAGGACTTATCTACTTCTAATTGCAAAAAAAAAAGTTTGAATTGCAAATTGGGTCCGTGGCAGGCCCTCTTCGGCTTTTTAGCGACGTGAAAGCCAAGGCTGCACGCTCCTCATACAGGGCCAAATGCAGACTGGTGGATAGAGAAAGAGAAAGGGACGGAGGCGGTGAAGATGTTGAGAGAGGCAGCGGGACCGCTCCTAACCACAGTGTGGCAGCCTCCCATTGGTCCGTCGCCCGTGTCACTCTGGCTGGATTAGCCAATGAGAAGCAGGCAAGTAAGACATCATGTTCTGAAAACCAATCACGATACGGCAAAATCAAAACTCCTCTCTCACACGCGGAAGCGATTATGTTAGTTGACTGCTTCATATCGGGCTTTTTAATGAAGTGCAAACACCTCTGAGTGTTTCTATTAAGGGTAGTTATGCTATTTGTTATGCCAGACACATACCCCTGCCCTGCCCATATGTTTATAAAATGCCGTTGCGGTACTGAAACATAGCTTCCAGTTTATGACATGAGAATACAGCAGAATATGGCTCTATTGTCCCAGAGAGGCAATTAGGCACACAGACATCAATTAATAATAATGAATACAGTTAAATACGACACTTAAATAAACAAATACCAAAAAGTATTTATACAAAGTCTGACACCAACACTGCTGTTGTCATTTTCATTAGTTACCTAAAAAATCCAGTCCATGTCACCCATATTGTTGGACATGTCAACAGTAATGCAACCAAACCCTCGGCTTTTGAAGAAGTCAGAATGTGTGCAGGAGGGCACTTTCTTAAAGAAGTTGGACGTCTGGGGGATTTGATTGCCAGAACCACAAAAGCGACTAAACCTGTAGTGTACATGTGACCTTCTACTCAGGTAAAACAGAAGTTGGTGGTTTAATTTGCTGACAATCAACCAATCAAGTAATAGGTAAATATACAACGTTTCCCTGTGAGTAATAGTGAAGTAGAAGTGTCAAGCACCTTTTAAAATGTACATAGTCAATTTATTCCAATGCATGACACCACAGAACATCAAGGAACAACTAGGGCTGCTCCTAAAATTCTTACCAATACCAACTTTTTAAAATAGTTTAATGTACAGTTATTTTCCAGAGCAATCATTTGGCCTGTAAAACATCAGAAAACAGTGATTAGAGCCCACGATTTCTCAAATAAGAACTCAAAGCAGTGAGATGTGCTATTTACTGTAACATGAAGACAAAGAACAGATGCAAATTTTCACAACTGAGGTGTTGGAACAAGTCAAAGTCTGTATTGTTTTTTTTGCTTTAATAGTGACTCAAACATTTCATCAGTTATCTAAATATTTCAGATCAATTTTTAGTTGCACAAGAGAGATCCACCTTCAGACAGACTGCCAGCACTGCTGGCAACCACTTTTATCAACTCATGTGTACCAATGAACCAATGTTCTGGTGTTCTTAAACGAAGCGCAGCCTTGGCTCAGATGTCAGAGGAAAGGTCAACACACTGATTGTCGTGCTGATGTGCAGGTTTCTCTGCGCCACGTATCTGTTGTGGAAAAACCAAAGCCCCCAGGATTTAGTGTGCTGGAGCCATTATTTATATTTAACTGTCATTATCTCAGTTTGTGATGGTTCTCGTCTACATCGCTCCACTTTTGTTGATTCTTTGACATCCTTAAGCAAGAGTTGAAATGCTGTTTTAGTAGAAAACGTGTTAATGGTTTTGGTACCATGATCAGCTGTACATTTGTTCAGGAATTTCCACAACTTAAGTACAGTATCAACAACAAGACCAGAATTTTAGTGGGATTTAACATGTTTGACATATTCAGATGAATAATATTTTTGTATTTCTACTGAGCTCACATGGTGTACATTTTAATCAGAATTACTCCAAATTAACAGAATCAAGCTATTAAACTAGATCTCTGAATAAATAATGAATATGTCATTTTTCTAATCCCACTACATGGTATAGATACAATGTTAGATGTTGAGGCGGATACACACTACAATGGCTTTCATGACAAACTCGGCAGACAGTAGCCAGGTATTTATTGTTAAACATTTTCCTTCTTTCTAAAGCTGCAGTTATGTGCTCATGCCAGCAGGGGGAGCTATCTGATAGCACAGAGCACCACACAATCACTGCTTGGCAGCGCTGTATTCATGCTGATTTACATTAAAAAAATTGACCTATATTCAAACAGTGTTACATGCATCAGACCAGTGATTTGAAGTCATGAAACACCTCATTTGCAATAAGGTTTTTTCGTTGTTGTTGTTTTTAACATTCATTAGCCCACAGATGTTACCATGCCCATTAATCTGTTTTCTCTTGGTATATCATAATGCATTTTTATATTACTTCCTATTCTAATCTGTACTATTACATGCCACTCTAATGGTTCGATTGCCCAAAAATGAAAGAGTACCTGCTTCAGAAAAATGAATAGCTTTGTCTTTTATTTTTTTCACTTTCACTTTTTCTTCAGATTCCTGTTTCTCTTCTTCAAACTGCAGTTGTAGTGGCCTGTCACCAGTTATCCCAGTGTCAATGTTGCAATCCAAACTCTTGCAGATACCTATATACCTTGAAAATACTTGGTCATATTTAAATAGGACAGCTACAGACTACCACTGAAAACTCAAACTTCTGTTATTTCATATTTTTAACAAAGACATTGAGTACCTACAGCGACTGAAGAGCTCTTTGATCTTATTCTAGGAAAACAGATCATTTGTATCTAGACTACAATAAATAAGATAAACTGGACAGAAGGTAAAACTGCTCTTTACTCAGATAAAATGAGATGAGACAAATAAAACTTCTTATAAGATTGAAAAAATACAGCAAATTAATATTTTCTCACATTGCAATATGGAGTCTTTATCATAGATCAATTGTTAGATTTTTCTGTTATCTCTCCCATTGTCAGAATAGAGAAACCACATCTATGCACTGATGGGCTTCTATGATTTTTAATCCAAATAAAGCTCTGCTACATAAAAAAACACATGTCAGTGTGAAAAGAATTCCTTTCTTCCTGCTTGTAAACTTAGCTTCTTAAAGAGTCCCCTCATCTCTGTGGTTACACTTGCAGATCCACAGACGACTGGAGAGCTGTGCTAATCCTGTAAAGCAGAGCTGCCCTTCTCTCAGACCAGCCTGTTTACTGTAAACTGACAGCTGAGATGGAAACGACTGAATAAGACGGAAATGATTTAGGGATCAAATGAGGGCAGAGCCTCAGCTTGAGTTTTCTTTTCTTCTCATGTGAAGAGGACGAGCTGAGGGTCAGCATTGGTGCAGCCGAGGTGCAAGTGTGTTTGTGTGTGTAGAGAGTACTGTCAAGAAGCACAATTTTGTTGCATTTCAAAATCAGACTGGAACCCCATCAGCATCTCATCATAAGTCCTTTACACATTACACTAAAAATACAGCGAGCTAAAGCAGTTTGTCATCATTAATTGATCAGTTTCCTGGGAACTTGTATTTATTTTTGGCTGTGCAATGTGCAGCATTCATCTGTGCTGTAGAGATTTGTTTTGTTACCCACAAAGCCTCTTCCCTCCCCCATCCGAGCCCCAATTGCCTCTGTGAAGTGGTTGCCATGACAACCTACTTGCTCCTCAGCCATATCTGGAAGGAGGAGGAGGAGAGAGGAGAAGCGAGGTCTGCAGCACTATGCTAGTGACATGCTCTGACAACTGTGAGAGACAGAGAGCCAGGGAGGAGGAGGAGGAGGAAGAGTGTGTATTCAGGACGTCACAACTTTTATCTTAATCCTTGAAGAGAAACAGATTCCTCATGCCTCACAACACCTACACTTGACGTCTCAGCTGTGGCTCCGCAGAACACTGAGCGCCTTGTTGTCCTGTCAGCGTCCAGACCAAAACACTGGAAAAACTGTTGTTGTTTCATCACGAGAGACAATAAATATCCATTCATTCACAATGGGACAAAGCACTTGTTACAGACTTCCTGCACTGCTGAGAAAACACTGATGTCTTTACACTCGCTTCTAAATACAAGACCAACACAAGTTCATTTGTACACACACGTGCAAATTCATGTAGCACGTTTAATTGCAGGGGTTGTGTTCAAAGTGTTTACACCAAACTACATGTGAACAAAGTCTGAGTAAAAAGCAATTCACTGTGAAGCTTAAAGGATAAGGTTAATTCTACATTTTTGTTAATGTCAAAAATCCCCAAAAAGAATGAAAAAAGTCAAATATTCCCGAAACCACTGGGCACTGTAGTTTTCAACAAATGTAACCCAGACAGACATACATAATTTATCTGTGAGGGAATATTTTAACCTATACGTTTTTGTGCAGTTGTTATTATTTATAGTAATGTACATGGAAATAAAACTATTGTACCTGTTTGTATGGTCATATGGAAACACATGTGAAACACTAAATAACTGAAATGCTTTTGAAGTTTTTGAACACCAGTGGAACTTATAATTTTTAATTAAGTCAAGAAATTCTTACATTTTCCAGAATTCTAGGTCAGGCTCTATTAAAGTAGGAACCCCATGTTTTACCACTTCAAGCATAATACTGTTTTGTTATGCCTCTGACTAAACAGTGTGACATGGTACTATGCAACCACGCTGATTACAATCATGCCACTCAAGCTTAGTTACCATGGTTACTTGAAGTTTGAGCTTCATGTTTGTGAAAATCTGCTTGGACATCAAAGAATTATATCTAGTTCACATTGAAACTCCAAAAAGACCACTCTATTGACAAAGAAGAGACAGCCAGAGGAAGAGAAGGTACTGTTAAATAGATGATTTCTTTAATAAAAGACATGACAGTGTGACATTCAGCTATGAGCTCGAATGATATTGCTTCAGTAGCTTACAGTACAGAGCCCAACCCGGCCAGTGTGTGTTATAACGCAATCATTTGACACAAGTGTGTCATGAAACATACAAATCATCTGGAGAACATAAGTCTCTTCAGTCTGAAACTGATAATCTACATTCAAATCCACTCGAAATGGTGAAAAGAAACTATGTACACACAATCCACAATGGCGAGTAAAGCACAAATGGATGGCCTACACAAGCACCAGATAATAGGCATGACCAATCAACACACGGGAATGGGGGAAGAAGAAAGGACATGCGGCAAGAGAGGACTGAGGCAGGGTAAAGCTGGGTTTGCTGGGCTGAGGTGTGGTTTGGGAGTAGAGCCATAGATACTGTTTGGTCATGCAAAGATGTGCATCTTTACTCCACTACAACAGCCCCACGATTTGTGCATCCTTATTAAGAAGTGTTTGAATTTGAGCTTAGAGCAAGGTTTGAATTAATGAAATTGCCCAAAGCAGTATTCTGGGACTTAGACTGGGTTTAGCCAGATAACTACATATAATATATTTAGATTATATTATAGAGGGGTATAGTGTGGGGCAGGGAGGGGTGATTAGATAAGTGGTAGTAGTAAATGAGGCAATGACATAGATATTTGTAATATCTATGGGCACAGAGCGGGGTGTTTGTGCATGTGTTTGTGCCCAGGGGTAGTGTAGGAAGATGAGGGATCAGTGTCTACTTGAACTGCTTAAGGGGTGGGGGCACCTTGATGTCCTGGCCTCGCTCAAGTCTCTTCTCACACTCGATTAGGTAGCTGACGCCATCAATCACTGTCTGCACCAGCTGGACCTGATGGAAGAACAAGTCACATTTTAATGCAGTTATCTATTTTTGCACAAGAAAAATGATAAGAACATAGAAAACTGACAATATTTCTATACTGTAATTCCAGTGCGACTTACTGTTTCATGACTCAGATGTGTGAGCCTCATTGTGCAGAATAATGTAAATACAGAGTTTGACCTGGGGTCTGGCCCCTTTTCTGGTCATGTAATCAGTACTTTTCCAAATATCAGCATCACTATTTTTAACCAATTCCTCATTAAAATAAATGAATTTAAAACGCCCTGCATTTTAGTAGTCACCACTCTGTAGTCTCTTGCAATGTCCCACCTACAGTGCTTTCCGATTGGTTACATGTCACAAGTCATAGCTTTTCAGCACGGAAAGATAAATGTTAAAAGTTTTCTTTTAATTAAACACAATTAAATCATATATAATCATAGGAATTTCAATGACTTTTTTGCATTGTAGTTTGTGTTTTTCTAAATTTGAAAATAAAATGTTCACTTTTACTGCACATGTATTGGTTTCAGAGGACTCTGATTAACTGGTATCAGCCCTGGAAAATAAACTGATTGACCCTTGGTGTAAAGTTTGTCACTGCTCACCTGGAATATGAGTTTAATACAGAGATGCACAGGAAGGTTTTGGATAACACAATGTTTTTTTTAATGTTTATGTTGGCACAGTGTCAGAAATTTCTGCTCAACATTCATACTGTCAGTGGCTGTAGATACAGAGCAGTCCTGAACACTTCTCAACCTCATACAACACCAACATCTGGTGTTTGTTGTAAGATTACTACAGTTACAGTCAAACCTTTGCACAGCCCTCTAAATGTGTAGTTATATTTTCTCAGATTCATTAAAAGAGGAACAAATTGTTACTGCCCTCCTATTCTTTGCTCCAACTCTCCTCACTCCCCTTATCCCTCATCCCTCTGTCCTTGTTCCTACACTTAGTGACCCCAGTCTGACAGTGCTCTTTCTCTGGGGGAGCATAAGTTTGGGTGATGGAGGACCAAACAACACTGAGCAACCAACACTGTCAAAACTTAGAACAGACAGGATCAGATGAAATTATGTCAGAGAAAGATAACTGGATGACTGACTCTCAGTCTACACCATATTGAATGCTAATTTGTACACTGCACTCCACCCAGAAACCACGAAGAATCATCGCCACTCTCCATGTAACCAGAATAAAATATGCAACCACACACACTGAAAACAATACAGTGCTCCATTGTACTGGATGACTCTGTCACACAGGCGTGACAGCATGACCAAGGACATAACAAAGACAGACTACATGTACAGCTTGGGCAAGAATATCATTTCCCCTTCTCTCCTCTCTTTTAACTTGAGTTAAAAACATCTACAGTCGTGACTTGATAATCTGACCCTTAATCTGAAAACCTTGCTATCCAACAGGTTTTTAGGAAAAACGAACGGAACCCACAGAAATAACATTAACATACCGACAGCCTTGGATTCCGACTCCGACGTGACATTTTATGTCACAAATAAGGATAACGGCGTATTATCTGACTCAACAATCCGACAGATTGGTTGCGGTCAGACTGCAGGATGTTAGATTCAGATTTTATGTGAAATCCAATTTTTTTGCAAGTTCGTTCATATTTCCAATTAAATGCAACTTGTATATGATCTCCTGTGTGAACTTGATACAACTGCATGCACAGAAAAGGGCACAACGACGTCACATGCTGCGAGCGTGTTCAGTGTTTACAGAAGCAAACATGGATGGTGGCGCTGTCGCTGCCGCCGCCAATGGTGGCAACAGAAGTGAGACCGCTATCCTAAACTAGCATCAGCAGCAAAGTACTGCTTGTGCATTCCGGCCACTTCCACCCCGTCGGAGCGCTCCCCTGGGGTGGAAGTGCCCCCCCAGACCGCGCAAAATATTTAGTCATCATTAATTGGGCCTGAATATCCTGAGACCAGAAAGTGCTATTCGGACCAGCCCTACTAGTTATTACAACAACTATGAACAATAATTAACAACAAATGAGCCTTCAAGCATCAAGCCCTCCTTGTATCTCGACCTCCGTCTTGACAATCCGACAGCCTTGCTATCCGACATAAAAGAAGGTTTTACATTTAGTGTCGGATTATCGAGTCACGACTGTACATCTCAAAATATTCATTTAACAATGGTCTTGTGCTGTCTGACATAATCCCAATGTTTTCAAGGTAACATGTTTAAGGTTTCCTTCACTTCACTTAAGGGACCTGAACTACCACACTGATAACACCAAGAGGCAATAAATATTCAGAGTATAGAATTTTTGTTTATTCAGGGAGGATCTATTGAGACAGCATGCGATGTTTCTTTAATGCTGTGCTTTCACACATTCGCACAAACTACAGAGAGGTATTATTGGCTAAAAAACTGTTAGAGTGAAACACAGTGGCAGATGAATACTTTGCTCTGTTGATGAAAGGTGAAGACATTACTTAAACCCTTCATTTTCACTCAGCTCCCGTCCCTGTGCTTTTCTATCTAGGTTTACCTCAGACTGTCCCAGGCGGTCCAGGTTGGAGATATCGAACACACCACCTACAGCAGCGGTGTCCACACCACCTGTCCCTCGCTTCTGCAGACGCAGGTTGTCCAGGATCTTACTGAAGCGGGGATCCTGGGAGGCAGGTAAAAGAAGTTACTCCAGACAGTTTGTAAGCACTTGAATCATCGTATTTGTTGGTGATATTACCCTGGGATCTAATCTTGAATATGATAACACACTGCTGGGTTGTCCTTAAATGTATTATTATTAAGAATAATGAGAATGGAATTACATCACTGCAACATTTTTATTTAGTTTCATATATATATATGCATTTATTATTATGTTTAAGAAATGAAAATTTAGTAGACAGCTATGAAATATTATTTGGCAAATTAAATTATTGTATGGCATAATTAACTCACATATAACTCATTTTAGCCAACTGCAGTTGCCAATGCCACTTCAACTTGCATGTACAACATGTTCCATTTACAATATTCTGTAACATTATGCCAATATTATTGTGTATCCCTGATATTTCGTAAAAGAAGTGCAGTGGAAAGAGAAATATTTGGCATCCTGTAATAAATACAGTGCAGTGTAAATATTGTAGTTCACATGCATGTGGGTTCAAAATGTGATAAAACACCAAGGAAAACAGCTGACTCTGCTGCTTGTGCCGTTTGCATTTTTTTCTGTAGAAAATACTAAATTACTCAGATTAAGAAAAAAATGTAGCTCTATGTTTTCTAAGACTTTTACTTTGACAAGATCATACTTTGATGTATTTTTGGTGTATGCAGATACTCTGTTTTTGTTCAGAATGTGGCACAAATAGATCAGTAACACAAAATATCCCTTACTATCTACCAAAATATTTGTTGCCAAATTTTGGTAGTGTGATTGTAACTGTTGTGTTACCTTGCCCAGCAGAGGCAGTTTGACGTGGACTCCGGCCCTGAGTCCTGTGCCCAGGTTGGAGGGACAGGTGAGGATGTAACCAAGCCTCTCATTCCACATGAACTCCCAGCCTCTCTCCTGGATGAGGCGCTCCACCTGAGAGGGACAGAATCAGTTACATTAAACAGGTAGGAGCGTTTCATTATTTATACTTGATGGCTGACATGTACAGATGGGGAGTTAGTCACTTGTAGGACTGTTAAGTGAACTCTGGTGGGACTGGAATGATACAAAAATCAAGGCTGCATTACAGAGTGTTGTTCAGGGTTGTCACACCTGCAGTGTGCAACAGTGCAGCACCAGATGCTGCATTGCTTGGCCCTTACTCTTTCTCTAATAGGAAAGCTGGATTGCTTGGATAAATAGTTTATGTTTGCGTGGCCATGTTTGGACAAAGTGTTTTTGTGCGTCTGCCCACATGCTGTATTTTGGAGGTAGAATGAAGACTAGTGTAAGCAGTCTTTTGCTTGTACAAGCATTCTCTGCAGAAATGCTTTTAGATGTCATTAATGCTCTCCTGTTCCCCCTCCTCCTCTATAAGTAGCAGTCCAACAGTCTGGTATTATTAAATGTAAGATCCACTATCTTTATTAAATCATGCACAGCTGACATCAGGCTGCACGTCAGACTGCGCCTCAGACTGGCTGGCTGTAATTCCTTACTCTCCATGTTGATGTTAAAATCAGAAACAGATTTTTACATGCAGATCAGAATGAAAAACTCTATTGTTTCTTAATCCTACCAAGTCTTGCTTTAGTTCTTTTTTTCCCATCTTAATATGTTAAGCAATCTTTTTAAAAAATCCACTCACAAACACACTCTTACCTCTTTGAGGCCTCTGCAAAACCTCTCAAAGACTCGTCTCATGTTGCCTCCTTTCTCCATGGAGATGACCCTGGTGTGATCCTCCTCATTGACCCAAATAAGGAATGTCTTCTCATTGTTGTGCCTGTACAGAGAGAGGTTATTTTGAGTTATACTTTTATGAGCCCTGTGAGTTTGGGTTGTCTGTCCTCTGCATTTGTAGCATCACAGATATGAAGAAGTAGTGAAGAGAAAGGGTAATTTATTTTTATGCAGTAACCAGCAAAACCTGAACAGAGAGCTAATATCCCTTTCCTAAGTCGTATCTCATTTCTCAAGTTTTTTTTCCCCCCAAAAGTATAAAGATAGTGCTCGTTTCTGTTATGGGTCATTTACTGTTGTGCTGTCAAGGCCTTGTAATGTGGTATTGATTTCTGACATACTAAACAACTTCTTAAACAGCAAGGAAAATCTGTTTAATGAAAAGCTCATCACTCGAGTTTGTCTGCAATGTAGAGTACAAGCTTACAGTTTTTAGAGGAAATATGTATGTAATGAAGTGTTCATTTGTATTATTACTTTATATTCTTAGGTATCTATCCACCGCAGTTGGTAGCACTGTTGCCTCGCAGCAAGAAGGTTGCCGGTTCGCGTCCCGGTGGGGGCACCGGAATCTTTCTGCGTGGAGTTTGCATGTTCTCCCCGTGCAACGTGGGTTCTCTCCGGGTTCTCCGACTTCCTCCCACACAGTCCAAAAACATGTTGAGGTTAATTGGTGATTCTAAATTGTCCGCAGGTGTGAATGTGAGTGTGCTTGGTTGTCTGTCTCTAAGTGTAGCCTGCGATGGATTGGCGACCTGTCCAGGGTGTCCCCTGCCTTCGCCCTAAGTCGGCTGGGATAGGCTCCACCCCCTGCGACCCTAATGAGGATTAAGCAGTGTATAGAAATGGATGGTATCTATCCACTGGTCTAAGAGCATGGTCCAGGCTGAAGATTTTCAATGACTGAAATATGGGCACTGATGGTCTCCAGAGGATGTATTTCAACAAAGAAATGCTCTAGTTATTCCTGTACAGTGCTATAACCAGGTCAGAATTTTCACCTGTCCCACAATTTATCCATCCATCCATTATCTATACATCGCTTAATCCTCACTAGGGTTGCGGGGGGGCTGGAGCCTATCCCAGCCGATTTAGGATGAAGGCAGGGGACACCCTGGACAGGTCGCCAGTCCATCGCAGGGCCACACTTAGAGACAGACACTCACATTCACACCTACGGACAATTTAGAATCACCAAATAACCTCAATCAACCTCATGTTTTTGGACTGTGGGAGGAAGCCAGAGAACCCGGAGAGAACCCACGCTGCACGGGGAGAACATGCAAACTCCACGCAGAAAGATTCCGGTGCCCCCACCGGGACGCGAACCAGCAACCTTCTTGCTGCACGGCAACAGTGCTGCCAACTGCGCCACCTTGCAGCCCTCCCACAATTTAGTTCAAGAAAAGATACTTTTAGAATAATCACGTTCTCACAAAAAGAATATACCACAGCATTTATTAGAAGGTTGTAGATGCTCTGTGGTGTTTTGAAGCGGAACACTTCCATTAAAATTTCTAGATATAAATACAGTACTTAAAAATTTGAAAAGCAAAGTACAGTAATATTTATAGAACACAATCATGCTACCCAGAGAAAGCGTGCATTGAATTTTAATGACCCTTCTGGCAAAAGTAAGATTGTATTAACTTTTTGCACGCAATGTTTCAAATTTTAAAGTCAAAACACAAAGCTATTCTTAGTCAGTACAGAGGTTTTTGTGTCCATACTGATCTCCTACATATTCACTTGTTAAGGCGTGTGGAACTTGTGACAAACAATTTTTTCAGTCTCTTGGTAGTTTGTTTTTTCAAGCGCATTGTCTAACTAACCTCACTTTTGTAAATCCTCTTTTTTTATGGGTGCATGGACTCTACCCTTGATCATACCAGCTGGGAAAACAGCTACACTAATTGTCCTTTTAACCTCAACAGTGCCTCACTGAAGAAAAAAGCAATCATGAAAAGGTTCACAAGGTCTCTTAGCTTTTAGGATCTGAAGGTAAGTTTGGAACCAGAAATGGCTATTGTGCCACATGTGGTGTCAGACTAGGGGATTCTTAGACATTTAATAAATGTGGTGACAACAGACTGGGGAGAGGGAGGAGCAAGACAAAAAAAGGGATGTTAGAGGGGAGGGGGAATCATCAGCAAAATGAAAGTAGAGCAGAAAATAAGGGCAGTGAAAAAAAATGAAAGCAGAGAGGGGGAGTGAGAGCCAAAGAAAGAGAAAGCTGCCAGTACACCTGAAAGAAGAGCTGATGGAGGGATGAAGTGAAGGTGAATTATTAAGGAGAGGAGAGGTTGGCAGAGGGAGCGAGGAGGGAGGCTGGTGATTGATTTTGGCTGGCTGATACGTTGCATTGAGTTATTCCTGGGTACATGCTGAAACTCAATGCTGAAGGAGCATTGTCCGCATTGCTAATGCACCTCCTTCACAGCTCACCAACAGAGAAACTACATTACTTGTCCAACCATGCTATGGTAAAGTTCATAAAATCCTTTAAAATGCAATTTTTTTTTTTTTCAATTATAGATTAAATTTCTCACCTGTTAAACGCAAAACTTAGGCAATTAAGTACTGAAAGAGTGGCTCTATTTGAGACAAAGGGAAGATTAAAGCCCCCATCCCTCCCACACACACACACACACACACACACACATACTCACTCCCACTACCAGTTTCCTACAACAGAGGGCAGGGGTCATTAAAAATTCAAGTGGATGAAACTAAATATTACTGTGACAAAATGCCAAAATTATCCCGAGAAAGGAAATGAATGACAAATTAAAAAAAAAAAAAAGAAAACAAAATATAACTTGCAACATTTAATGGACCACCAACAGCATCTTAAAAAAAAAATGAAAATTTGAAATCATTACAGAATATCAGAAGGGGTACATGTAAATTGGGAAAAAACAACCAACAAGTTGAGTTTAAAATATATAAAATCCACTCTGAAATGAATAAAAAAAGAAATGAAAACCTGTAGACAGCTAACAGTAATCTAAACTTTGTTTAATTTCTCTTTTCTGCTTGCGACAAAATGAATAATCATCAAATTCCTAATCAGTGAATCATAAATCACTTTTGAGAGAAGTTGCTTTTTTTCCCCCTTTCTTCAAAGAATGGGTTCTTCTTGTTTGTTTATGTCAATGTGAAACACAAAAACGCACTCAATGGTGTTGTCAGAAACAGCAAGAAGATCATGAACAAACAACGACTGAGGTACTATGAAACGAGATTAGTTGGTCATCAAGGTATGTTGAGCTTCAGTCTTCAGTGTCACAACGGTGGCTCTCTTTTTACCTGCTAGATCTCCATGGTAACTGATGCTGTGCAGGTCGGGTGCAGGTTATGTTCAGAGTTTCGTATTTAAATCGGCTGGAAGGACAACCTCCCTTTAACCAAATCGTTCACTGACTATTATTTATGAACGATCCAGATTCTCAGCTGATGGGAATGTGTTTTATCTGCAAACATGCTGAGTTATGCATTACTGATATCACTGAATGAAGATACAGTAGTTACAGTATCGCACTCTGTAAATATCATGTTGCCATGGGAACCCGACATGTTTAGCTAGCGATGCAGAAATCACATAAATATCTTTATGTTTGGCTCTGATTTGCTGTCAAGTCCGTTTACACTGCTGGTACTATAGCTGATAAAACACAGACTGGAAAAATGATTTTTCTCCTGGTATTTATTACAGAAAATATTCAATCAATAACATCAATTTCGCTTTGATTTGGCCTAAAGTTAAAGTGATATCGTGCATTATGAGACACTGTCAGACCTAAATGCACTTCAATACAAGATCATGTTTAAATGTATGAAGTTTAAAGTTTAAAGTTTAACTTTAACGTGCAGCTGTCATTTGGAAATAGGCGGCTGCATCGGTAAAATACTATACATTACCACGTTTAACAGTTTTCTGCCAGCGTTTCTGTCTTGCACCATTTGCAGTAGCAGCGCTTTTTACCATCATAAATATTTACATTCCTCATTGTTCTCCATGAAAAAAACGTGTCGACTGAAGCAGCTGCACATGATCGTTTCATTTTGTGCAGAAGAAGAGTCATGTGACGTGTTAAACGCCCCTTTTTATGTGAACACACTCAATGTTTGAAGCAGAAAGCCTGAGTTGACAAAGAAAGTTGATAACCACCTTCGTGATACCCGTGATCTCTGGCTGGGGCTTTCATTTCTGTCAAACTGGCTTACACAAAGAAAGCCCAGCTATGTCAACTTGCATCGTAGTATAGTCCTCTGATCTGCTTGATCAAAACTGTTCTGCTTTGCCTTCAGACTCATGCCATAGGCTACCAAAGATTAAGCGTAAGCTGTCACCATATATAATAACTAGATTATATACATCGTCATTTGTTACCAGTGTTATCAGATTATTAAATAGCTATGTTGGAACATTTTTAAAGTTTTGATTTATGCTTCCATTGTCCAAGCATCTAAGATCTGGATGTTTTTAATGTACTTTTTGTAAATATTTATTATTTTGTCTTCTCTGAAATTGTATTGTTATGTGTTGTTGTCATAGTTTGATGGTGCTTATCTGTCTGGCCTAAATTGCCCAAAAAGGACTTCAATGCTAAATTAAACTGAACATATTTTTTCAAGTCTGTCTTAAACAACAGTTTAAACCATGACGATATATTTTGCCTGCTGTACTGATTTACTCCACAGAGGTCAACCCTCAGACCTCTTCTTTACAACCTATACATGCTCACACCTGGCACCACAATAGGAAAATGAAACATACAGTATCTGATCATGCATATACTGATAACACACATACTTCCCACAAATAAACTGGAAATTTGTACCCACACTCCCAAAAATGGTTGTTCAACTTTTAAAATGTAATAAAAATAAATACTCTAGTAGGCCCTATTCCAGAGATAAGAAATATGATGGCAATGTCATTTTCACTGTCTCTAAATTAAAGTGAACAACACAGAAACCCTTATTGAGATATTTAGGATCATCATCCAAAAATAAGTATTTTTTTTATCAGCCAGAAACTTAGTTTCTAACTTACTTTTACTTACCAAATACCACGGGCATCTGGCCAGTCACGAGCCATGCCGGCACACGTCAGGAGGGGGGACACAGGCTTGTCAAACAGGAAGTGGTCCTATTGTAAATATAGAAAACAAATACCTTATAAAGTAGTTCTTAGGTAGGCGATTTCCTTGAGATCAAGACCAGAGAAAAATGTACACAGTTGCACAACAATGAAAATTAGTCTCTCAAAAAAACCCTCACACTAGCACAATTCAGAGCACACTACATCAATTTACATTAATCTTCTGGAGGCTTACCCTAACCATAACCACTACTTTCCGAACGATAACCCTTACCCCAACCTTATACCAAGTGCTCTTACTAAAATGCCTGGTAATAGGATGCAGAGTACTGGGAGACAGAAACAAGGGGGTTAGACTTCAGAATTCAATAATCTGGTCAATCTTTCTCATTGTCAGGAGAAAAATGCCCTGGCAGCCACACAACACACTCTTTTCTGATAACAAGTGATAAAATTGTCTGGCTTGGGGGGAAACTGTAACCACATTCACACGAGACTAAATGCATTTTATCCAATTTGTGAGTGTGCCCAATGTGTATCATTATCATTTTTTTCTTAATAAGAACTGAAAGAAATTCTTCCTTACAGTATTACAGAAACTATCAAATTACTGTTTTCTAAAACATGGTTAACTTAAAACTTGATTTTTTTTTTCCAGAGGGATTCCTTTTGGAAAAAGAGTTTAGCACAGTAGGTCAAAGGTGCTACATATATAATATACAGCAGCATTCCTGCATCACTCACATCAATGAGTTGCTGCTGCTCCTTATCTGTCATCTGGGTGAGACTGTAGTACCTCCCAGTCAGGTCACCCTTCAGGCCAGCGAGGGCATCCACCACCACCCTCTCCACCTCCCTGCGCTCTGCACGGGTGCAGGCAGGAGGTAGGCTCAGCCCCCGGATACTGCGGCCCGTCCTCACCCTGGAAGACAGCACGTAACGCTCATCGAATTGGCCCGACTGGATCTGAAACAGAGACAAGTAGGCAAATGTTTCTATTTCTACATTCTGAAAAAAGGAAGACATTTTCTGGCAGGCGACGCAATTCCACCTGTTGAGGCAAATTACATCATAGGAGGCATTAAAAGCTCAGTTAAAAAGGTAACAGAAAAATAACAGAGGAGGAAGTATCACTATTGTACTTACTTTTCTACATGATAGTACTCAGACTGGTGATACCTGTATATATACAGCTAGAAAAGTAAAGTGGGAGCTTGTCTGTTAACTTACAACGTTCATATCTGGAGTAAAATATGTAGTGCTGTATCTGTTGGTGTACGTCATTTTCAAATCACTGCAGCAAGTCACCAGCCCACAGATTAAAACTTTTCTCCAACGAGACAAGCTGTGTTGTCAGTGTGCGTGTTACCTTGCTAGCATCCAGATCCGTGGGGTGCTTCATGTTGCGGGGGTCATAGCCATTGTGCCTCTCTTTGATGACAGGGTCCAACAGATCTGCAAATACCTGAAAAACACCCACAATTAATGAATAAAGAATTATAAGACTTCAATGAGATTTCAGCTTTTAACCTTTTGATAAATTTGCAAACATGATGAAAAATAAATTGAAATACATTTTGTCGTTGTAAGGTTATTGTGTATAGATTGATGGACAAAGAAATTCAATTTTAACTATTTAAAATTCAATCTACAACACAATAAAGTAAGTAAAACGTGAAAGGGTTTGTTTACTTTCCCAGCAAATGTTTCATGACCTTACCTTCATGCATTACCACAATTCCTTTCACGCTTTTGGCAGTAAGTCAGTTGCAGTAGTAAACCGCAATCAAAACGATCCCACATATCAACAGCAGGGAGTATACGGGACTGACAACTGCATTACATTTTAGATACACTGTGTGATAAATGTTCATTTATATCATAGCTAAAAGAAAATGTGTTTTAGCACAGCTCAGATATTTAGAAGTGATGTAAATGTTCGAAGCTTGACCTATGTCTGCATCCTTAACACTAACATTGACTAGTTCTCTTGATTCATACTTACTATCAGACTAGAAAGAACACTGACATCTGTCAGATGTCTAAGATATTTATGTGGCTCTCTAAATGAAGTAGGCAATTAAAATGGAAATCTAGTTGGATCCTCATTATAGTTAGATATTGAGACATCCCAAAAGAGGTGTCCTAGCTTAAAACCCTGCCTGTCTGGTACTGTAACACTCCTTCTGAAACAGGACGAGGAGAATTAGTTACAAAATGCTCTCATATTGTAGTTAGCATGAAAATATAAGTCATTTCAGTTTTTTCTGAGGTTTAAAGGGTTCAAATCATTGTTGAAGCTGTCTTGGCAGTATTACAAAGTTGGAGAGAGGCTGGAACACAACTGTTGTGCATGTACGTTTGAAAAGGTGTAATGATGTCTGACCTCATAAGACTCCTCATCTCCTGCCACCATGCCAACAGTCTTGATGAAGGGGTGTCCAGGGTTGTCCACACCCGTCTGGATGGCCTGGTCCAGTGTGTAACCACTGGGAGTGGCCTTATCACACAACTTGGCATAGATTGCAGGTGTCAGGTTAGTGGCCATGCAGTTGTTGTGTTTGCGCAGGTCAGGGTACTCCGCACTGCACAAATATAAAAGAAAGATAATGTATTGCTGCATCTTTGAGAAAGAAAATGTTTTTGCAGTGTTGGCACAGGTTACATATGGAGCTTTGCCCTTGGAACAGGTATAGAATGAGTGACTCACTCAAGGAAATTTCCACAAAACACATACACAGGATAAGTAGTCGAAATCTGGGACCTTCTGTCAAAAACACACCGCTACTACACTGGCGTATCTGCTGGAGACAACTTCTGGCAGGTAAAGAAACACAGTTTGATGCTAATCTTGTAACGCTTCTTCTAAACTGTGTAAATTTGTTATGTAGCAATTGCTTATTAGGGTAGCTAATTGAATAATGTTATTGGCAGTGTTAATATGTTTGCTAAGTTCGCTGTTTGTTGATACATGGTTCAGAAAATTAGCTCAAATAGCTTGTCAGCTATCTACCAAACTGAGCCAATTTTATGTAGCAAACAAACCACGTGTATTGACATTGTTCAGACAATTCAAAACAGATCTTCAGTGCAGCTAATGACAACACAAACTGTACCAAAAAACATTACAAATGCTGTCATTATTAGACGATTAAAAGGTAGCAGTGTTATCTTGACCAGCTGTCAGAGTTTCAGCACTGGATAAAGTGATACTGACAAGCAAGTATGTCTGCAGATTGTCCAAATACGTAGCTGTTAAAATTACATCAAATCCCAACTTGGGATTTTCTTTTTGAAATAATTACATAGTTAATTAATAATAAATAATTAATAATTACATAGTGTATGTGTGTGTATTTTGAGCATGAGAGAAATGAGCATTGTTGTGGAGGAATTAAATGTTGGACAGACTGGATTGTACAGGTGATTCACTAGAGCCTCCTGAGGTACAAAATGGTATTACATTATCCATCCATTATACCGCTTTAGCCTCTGTAGGGTCGCTGGAGGTCTGGCCTCTATCTGAGCTGACTCAGGGTGAAGGCAGGATACACCCTGGACAGGTCGCCAGTCTATCACAGGGCCACATAGACAGACAATGCAGCTCACTCACTCACATTAACACCAACAGACAATTTATGGTCACCAGTTAACCTCAGCATGTTTTTGGATTGTGGGAGGAATCTGGAGAACCCAGTGAGAACCCATGCAGACATGGGAAGAACATGCAAACTCCACACAGAAAGACCCCAGGCTCAGATTCCAACCCAGGACCTTTGAGCTGTGAGGCGACAGAGCTAACCACTGCATCTGGTATTACAGTTTATACCTACATATCGTCACTTTAGAATTATAAAGCTCTATCTGACATTTTTGGCAAAATTGAGTTATTTACATTTTCTGATTCTTGGACACATTATCTATACAAAACTATGTGTTTTTTAAAATATATATATATATATATATATATATATATATATATATTTAGCTTTTAATTAACAAAAACAGATAGTTCTATCTGCGATTTCTCTAAACTGGGTGTTATAAAGTTCTATCTGTGTTGGCCAATCAGAACACAGAATATACAACAATCCACCAATCACATTAATGCTTGCAGCTACGTAGCCAACTACCATGACCTGACAGTTAATAATATAATATAATAATAATAAACTTTATTTATAGAGCACTTTTCAAAAGAAGTGTTACAAAGTGCTTTTCAGTAAAATAAATATCTCGCGCCGCCACTGTGGGCCAATTTGACCAGCATGTTTTTAACATTAACATGTAGTTCTAGTTTCTTAAAAAACAATGGTTAGTGGTAAAGAAAACTACAACATGAAAATAATAAGACTGAATGTATGCAACAAAGATGCATGTTGCATTTTTTATTGTTAAATTATTGATCTGATTGTTCTGCTGTTTTGTGATTGTAATAAATTGTAATGTTGACCATTTTGTGACCATTTTTTTCTTCTACTTAATTCACTGTTTACATTAAATCTAAGTTAGATAACAAGTTCAATTGTTATCTTACTGTTAATTGTTTTTGCTGTATATTTGTGAAGAACCACACTTTTAAATGGGACTTCAACCTGTAGAACCCTTTTGGCGGTGTTCATAATATTATAAATAAGCAAAATAATGACATTACCTTTTGACCTATTTTTGAAATTTTCATTTGATTCACACATGGTTCTATTCAAAGTTAGACCTGAAGATCTGGACAGCAAAAATAATTAGCTATTCTTCAAGTTTAATACTGACTAAGGTTATTTACACGAACATAATTATCGATGATCTGAAAGATTTAACTGAAGCATAATTGGCCATTTCTAATGATAGAAAATGAAAAAATAAAAACTTGGAAATGCACTTTAATGTTAAAAATAGTTGTTTGTTAAAAGTTATTTGAGTTCTGGAGCACAAGTTATTGTTTTTAACATGTTCTGCAGATAGAACTTTATAATTCTAAATGAAATGGGCCTTTTCAGAATTAGAAAGTTCTATCTGCAAAAAACCCACTTCCAAAACTCCCACTTATAAATTTTCAAATAATTTCAAATTACACATTTAGACTCTCTTTAGTATGCCTATAGTTATCAAGTATTAACACAATTTAATGTTCATTTCATTCTGACTATATGAGCAGTCAAAACTTTGAACGTAAATATCTCAACACTACCGAGAACGCAGATAGAACTATATAATTCTAAGGTGACAATATAGCCCCTTAAATGCTGATGGCAAATGCAGAATTAGATTTCTGCTATTTCAGTAAAATAATGGTGCTAAATTAGAAAAACTGTCTAAAGTGTATTTAAAATGATTATTTGGGTATTCAAGCAGGCTAGTACAGTACCAAAAGGAATGTGCTGTCTTAGACTGGCTGTGATCCAACCAGTATTTTGTCTTCAGGCCAAGGATGGAAAGAAATTCAGTTTGGCCTGTCAAAGACTAAAACTGCAAAAGGAGCAGAGATTAAGTAGCTTATGGGCCCCTGTTTCCTGCTGTCTGTCAAAAGATATGGAAGACTAAGGCACTTAAGCTAAAAACTGTTCTCAGAACCTTTTCACAAAGCATTACTAATGATGATTTGGGTATACTGTCACATCTTCGTCATGGATGGGCTCTGACCAAAGTTTCTTTTGCTTGGCCTAAACTATCTATTTCCATGACTGCAAAAGGAATTTAGTTTCTCGCCTTATTTGTACCTTCACTTACAACATGGACTAAATTCTGCTTTCTTCCACATGAATTCGACATGAACAGTTGATCATCACTGCTTATGTCATCAGTGTCTGCTATAATAATGTTGTCTTTTGCTGTGGTCCTTTTTAAAGAGAGCGCCAGTAGAGAGGTGGCAGGAAAGAAGGAGAGCAAAAAAGGCCGCAGCCCTTGGTGGTGCAACAATCCCTAAACCATAAGGGCACTGCATTAACCTTTTCACAACCAGAAAAAAACAAAGGTAGCCACTGACAAAAAACCCCCCACAGTGTATCATCGCAACGAATGCGCTCAAATAAATACTGTATACCACACTGAAAGCTGCTGTCTGTTTTCTCCAGGTTTTAATGGCTACACACTCATGCTCAGAGTTCTAGGGTACATTTGTCCTAAAGGACCCGTGGATGGATGTATCATCTCATAGTCAGTGCCGAACTGTCATGCAGGATGATGGATGAGGTTATTGATGGAGGTCTTTTAATCGATACTGCACTTGTTATCAATAAAAAATAAGTATGTTTTATTTTTTGAATGAAGATTCTCTGGTGCTGCAGGTGTGACCCATGTATGATCGTTAAATATCACAGGGCAGGGTTTTATATCTGAGCAGCAGATAATGTTTAACTAATCTACATTTAAATGCCGCTTTGTAATGCAGGCAGGGAGGCGTGCCGTGGGACACGTACACAGCCCTCCTCGGTGTCTTTTAATCTCCCCATACTGTGTCTGTGTACCATTATACAGCAAGATAACCCACACAAGTTATGGCTCTGAACCAACTGTTTTATCTGTAGTCCGGTTCAGAGAACTCACTTCTGGCTCATTCTTCAGGAAAACACAGCTGCCATCTGTCTGAGCTTCTTCACAGGTTTCCATACAAGCCGCATTATGTTGGCTCGTGTTTTACAGTAACATTAGATTTGTATAGTGTGTTATATGGTCTCTGTCGGGGTGTGCCTTAAATTCGGTGGCTTTTATTGAGAAAACAACACACATTTCACACAGATGCTTCACCAGAGAAGATGCTACACAACACGACATGAAGCAGAGACGCAGAGTTTCAGTGTGGAGCTATAAGTTGTCTCGACCGTTGGTTTGGTCGTAACATGGCGTCTGGATGATATTAACGTTCTCTGTGTGAACTGCTGTGATATGACATTAAAACGGACATTGCTTTATAACAGCTGTTCATTTCCCAATAACATATCTCAATAATACTTGGCTACATATTTAACATTTAAATGTAATATTAAATGTTTTATTATACTGGAGGACCTCTGGGGTTTAGTAAGCTAGCTACACCGTTAGTTTCACACCCTCCTCCGTCATTAGCTTAAATTGCACATTAACATTACTCACATTTGTGATGCTACTGACACTTTGTGGAGACGTCATAATATAACCTGCGATAAAACACGTTAAATATTTCTTAGTTGTTTAATATAATTGTGTGTGGAGTGTCGTAAAGCCGAGCTCACAGGCGGGTGGGGCAACGTTACCTGGCGGGGTAACTCCTGCGGACGGGCGCCCCGGCGCTGACATGTTCCCGGTGCAGCAGAAGTCCAGCCGTGACGGAGCCTCCCACGAACGACAGGATCCCGACGTGTCGTTTGGAGGAAAGGATTCGTGAGAAGCTGCTTGCCATCTTTGTTTTCTTTGTAGTTGAGTGTTAAAAATATTTCCACGGCCGCAGGGAGGGAGGGACAGGTGGATGGGAGCGTCGGTGATGAAGTGCCTCTGCTGGAATGAGAAGGAGACGGTTAACGGGAGCGACGTCAAGTTGGACGGAGACACACCGGAGCAGGATGTAGCTGCGTCTTCAAAATAAAATATCAAGCCGAAAAAAATGCATTAGGCTTTTTTTTGTTTGTTTTGTTTGTTTGTTTGTTTGTTTGTTTGTTTGTTTGTTTGTTTGTTTTTTACTGAAGGACGCAATCAAGTATCATTTTAAGATTTTTATCTCAAGTCGTTATTTATAATAGACATTTAAAGCAGCAGCCATTTAACTAAAGTGCTTTCCAGTAGAAAAATAAGATTGGTGTCAAAAATTATAATAATAAGTTTAAAAATTGAAGTTTAAGATTTGTTTCTGGAAAAAATGAGTAAATTAAATATAAAGGATTAAAACCTTATCAAAAAAAAAACAAAAAAAAACCCCGACCTTACCTGACGATAATAAACATAAAGGCTAAGATCTTTCATAGATATTAATTAAAGAAATAAACCTGACGAATGTAGCAATAAAGTTATGACCGCAGTAAAATGTACATGAAAACCTAACAAATCCAAGGATTACCTACAAGCAAGCTATGTGCTTAATTTCAATTTAAATAGGTAGGGATTTGTTTGTTTATTTAGCAATTTTGGGGTTCTTTTTAAATAAAAAAAACAAACTTTTTTTCATTGATAAACTATAAAAAAAAATTTCAGAACATTTGTTTAAATTATATCTGGATACAAAACTTACTGATGAAAAAAGTAGTTTATCCCAAATCATATTTAAAATAGATCTGTAATGTCCAAACAATAATGGAAAGTACTGTACTGCTTTTAGTACTTTAACATACTTTTACTTAAGAAAGCTGCTGAATGACAATGTTACTAAAGTAAAATATATGCAAATGTACTTCTTTTATCGCCGACCTATATTTTTATGTATGCATATTATAGCTGCAACATTTACAGAGACAGATGACTAGAAGACAATCTTACTGATTTTCATGCTCAAGCCTGGCTCTGTACACATCACTGATCATCTCTTAAATTCTATACACATATTCACAGCACTGAGCTGTACTTTCTACTGGCATCATCAATTAACACCCAAATCCAAAAGCTGATAACGCAAGGAGACGCAGATCACACACACACTGTTCCATGTGCAGGAAGTGACAGTGCTTATTCTGTCTGGCTTGACGGTAGTGGAGCGGTGCGCCGTGTGAATACTAAAGGAGACCAGTGAACAGGGCTGCAGCACTGAATCATGCTGAGCAACAGCAGCCCAAAACACACAGTGCAGTACAGTCTTTTTTTTCTTCTTCTTTTTTTTTTTTTTTTTTTACAATTAAACACTGATGAACACAAGTAAGCGCTGCTTTTGTATTCAGATTTTAAGGTCAATCCAGTTATTCATAAAACTCATAAAACATGCTGCAACTTCCTCATAGGGCTGTGTCATGGCTGATAAAGAAAAACTAGGGCCAGTGACTTTCCTTTGTCCAGTTACACAGCGCTTATCAGTAAAGGTAACACAAAGTAGGCTAACTTTGATCTTCAAGCAACCTACTAAAAAGAGTGTCTGGATCACCTGATCTTTATTACTCCTTGTCACATATTTTTGCCAGACTTTAGGTTTACATTTTACCAAACAGGTTGGTAAAAAATATTTTGTAGGTCTGACAGTAAACTGATGTTACATCTGCTGAAATAAAAACATAATTCCAAGTATTACGCTGTGCCTAACAGTAACTCAAGCACCTCTGTGATACTGACTGTTCAGTTTACAGTCACTTGTTATCAAACAGAGGCCATACTGTTTTATACTCCAAGCCTGAGCTCCTTACAGAAGACAATTCACTAATCTGTGGATTATAGACGAAATAGCTGGCATACAGTACTCGGATCAAAGTTCACGTTGGTTTTCTGCAGGAAAGGGAATTAGTTTACAACACTTAGGTCTCATGTAACACAAAAGGCAGCCGCAGGAGTAACTTTGCTGCCTATAAAACATTTCCACCTCAGCTGTAATGCTTTGCAACACCTAAAGTCACTGTAATTGGGCCTTTTTTTGTAAAAATCAACACAATACAACCCATTTCTACACATTTGTTTAAAGGCAAAAACAAAAGTAATTTATTAAAAGCAATAGTGTGTAATTATGTGAATATGCCTCAAGCAGGCTATCCTCAAAAACGGAGTCTCCACACAAGAAAGGCTCTAGTGAGGCAGTCCACCATGAGGATGGTGGCTCTGTCATCCACGTCATGAAGCTGGTGGTAGCAGCCTTATTAAGTGTGTGTGTGTGTGTGTGTGTCGGGGTGGAGGCCCTGAAAAGCTACTGGAAGTTGAAGTTAAACTGAATGCATTGAAGCAGAGTACAAAAGTGTTAACACTGCAGAGAAGCCAAGTCTGAGCACACACCTCCAAACAATCCATCATTTGTGGCAGGATCTGAAAGCTCATTCTCCCACATAGCATCAAAGAGCGTGTGCCGTTTTGTACGAAGTATGGGGAAATGTTTCTGAGTCCAGACCTGCAAAGCTGACACACACACAACTACTGAGATTAGGTCATAATTACCAGGAAAAGGACAAAGCTGAAGAGGACCAGTGAAAGATTATTGTTTCATGTGTACAGTTGTAGTTTGTCGCTGCTCAGACACTTCAGACTGAAAAGAAAACTGATTACATTTGTGGGAATTCAGTTTTCTCATCGGACATATTTTGACTTGACAGTTAGAGAAGCAGATAAGGTATTAATCAACAATAGCCTTGCCTTCTACACACAGTGTGACTGAGCCAGCACACACAAAACCAGGGTGTAAAACTAAAGCAGCTAAAGTGAATTTGACATGACTTATTTTTGTATTTACACACAGGGACAAAATTGTTGGTGCCACACAGTTAATAAAAGAAAAACCCACAATGGTCACAGAAATAACTTGAATCTGACATAAGTAATAACAAACAAAAATTCTATAAAAATTAACCAATGAAAATCAGACATTGCTTTTGAATTGTGGTTTAACAGAATTACTAAAAATAAATAAATAAATAAATAAACAACTCATGAAACAGGCCTGGACAAAAATGATGGTACCCTTAACTTAATATTTTGTTGCACAACCTTTTGAGGCAATCACTGCAATCAAGCGATTTCTGTAACTGTCAATGAGACTTCTGCACCTCTCAGCAGGTATTCTGGTCCACTCCTCATGAGCAGACTGCTCCAGTTGTCTCAGGTTTGAAGGGTGCCTTCTCCAGACGGCATGTTTCAGCTCCTTCCACAGATGTTCAATAGGATTCAGATCAGGGCTCATAGAAGGCCACTTCAGAATAATCCACTGTTTTCCTCTTAGCCATTCTTGGGTGTTAATTTTCATAGAATTTTTCTTTATTATTAATTTGTCAGATTCAAGTTATTTCTGTGACCGTTGGGTTTTTTTCTTTCATTAACCGAGGGGTACCAACAATTTTGTCCACGTGTGTACACCTGCACTTTTCCTAATGTACCAAAGATTTCTCTCTTTAAAAAAAAAAAGGTCTAAGTTACAAAGTAGTGATGTATCAAATCTCAAGGTACTTATTTCAGGGTAAACTGTAAAGAGTAGTTGCTCCCTGTGCCTGTTATCTGTATTTGTGAACAAACAGCACACCTACGAGGTGTGTCCTGTTATCTGACTTTACAGCAGCCAACTGGTGCTAAGTGCCAAAAAAAAAGTCCCTTGACTAATATGAACAATGAGATTTTTTAGAATTTTTTTAAACAAAAAAAATCCCTCTTAAAACAACAAGCTGATGGGATGAAACAAATACCAAATTACCAATCAGATGATAATCAGGAGCATGAAATTGGCAGTTATAGACCTCTAATAAGATCTGATTTTCTACATGCATCATCAGTGCCCTGCCTACTGAACACAGTAAGAGTTTTATGGTTTTAGAGCACTAACCTTTGATTACAGAGCTAAAGGATTAGGTTCCCTTTTACCTGCTGGCAGCTGATAAACTTCTTCTGAAAGTCAGACTCAAAGACAAGAAGGTCTGTGCAGTAACATTTTAGTTTGAGTTCCTGCATGGGTTTACTCGCCCTGCTTTGGATTAACAAAGGGTGAGAACAGGATAAAAACATTTTTAATTACATTCAAACAATTAGGAAAACACATTTATTTACAAGACTTTGGCAACATCACATATTTACAATATGAATCAATCATTAGGCATTCCCTTTTACTTCGATTTTTTTTGTCAGATTTATGACAAAAAAAATAATAAATACACATTTATAGTACTTCAACAAATTACATCTCTGATTTGTAAAATAATAGATTACACTTTTGGGGGGGGACACACATATAATTTAACGGTTTTCCAAAATTTTAGCTTCAGAAAACCCAAGCAGGAAACATGGCATGTTTTAAATGACAGCATTATTAACTGGAACTGTAAAGCCATTTCAAACATTTTGACCTTCAACTCACATTTTAATCAACATATAACCTTAAAATCTAAAACTGTCCTGAATAAAACAAAAGTCACTGGTAAGAATAGAAAACGTCACAGTCAGAAGTCTTGGCTCAGCAGACTGAATGGGACATTTGTTCATATACAGAACTTTTCAAGCAGTACTTGAAAGGCATCTTTCAGTTATTCCATCAAAAGCCTCACAGCTTCACAGTCAAACACAGAATGGCTAATCTTTCTGCTTTGCTTGCCAGACAGTTTTAGGTTCAGTGCAGCAGTCTCTTCCTGCTGTAGGTCTTCCCTGTGTTTGAACGTTTGAGTGGTTGACTGAGTGAAGCAAGGTCCACGTCATCGACTTCCCTCTTCCCTGATCCTGCTTCATCTAAAACATCCAGGAAACAATATAGATCAGGGATTTACTTGCAGTAAGAAGAATGTCCAAGTCACTTTATCTGGCAGTATTTTCATTTTTGGCTATTCAGCCAGTAAAAGGATGCTGGAGCTCTGACCCACTGCTCATGGTGACCAGCAGAAACTACACTACACAGCCAAAACTCTGCAGATGGATTAACATCAGTACAATATCTTTGCAATTATGACTGTTCAGGATATTATGCCAAAACTACAAGCAATACTGGAGTCTTGAAACAGCCTCCCTTATCCTGAGAAGACACTGCTTAGGATTTCACAGACCAGTGGCTGTGATGTAGCTGTAGCTTTGAACGATACATGATGAAGCTAATAAGATCTCATTTAACAAGATACAGAAATTCTGCATTTATTATTAGAAAATGGATGGATGGATGGATGGTAAAAATGTTCGACTGCCATTCATTTACTGGCTTAAATAAAAGCATGCCTTTAAAACAGTGTATGTGTCTTACCTTTAAAGTTTGGTGTTCTCTTACTTGCAGAACCTGTTTTGCTCTTGAACAGTAATGGAGACTGAGTGAGGGCCAAAATACCACTTGCAGTCACTGGCTTTCTCACCTTCGAGCTGGGAGGAGTTGCTCCTGCCAAAATGCAAAAAACAACTTTGAGTGAATTGCTGAAACTTAACTTTGTATGAGTTTTAATATGCACCTTCATGCAACCATTTTAATTGAAGAATTGTTTGCAAGACCAAAGACCATAATTTAATTCAAGTACTTTGCTGTCTATATATCTGTGTTCCAGAAACATTTCATTTGATACTAAACACATTAAAATAGAAATAAATCTAAGTCAAACCTGGATCTCTAATTTTGAAACACTGATAAAGCTTAAATTGCTATCTTACAAAATGTGTAAACCATAACTTACCTGACTGGCCTTCTCCATTTTCAGAAGCCCAGATGATTTCTTCCTCAGCTGTCTGAGGAGCAGTGCAGTCATGAGGCAGCTTTTCCATCCACAACAAATCCTCCACTGGAGAAAGAGGAGATTCATCTGCCTCAACTGGAGCTGACTGTCTGGAAGTCAATATTTCAACTTTGTTGTTTGAAGGCTCATCAGTGTCCTCAATGTCCTGCAACCTACTAACTCCAAGCTCTGCTTCCTCCAGTAGTTCCTCCAATTGAGGCTCCCCCTTCAGGCCGCGATCTCTCCCTCCTAACACTCCGATCTGAGCTCTCTTCCTGCGGGGCCAGCTGTTGAGGTTGTCTGGGGTCACTTTCCCTAAACTCTGAGGTGAGGGAGTCAGGGGAATGACGTCTGCGATTGCCACTGGAGATACTGTTCCTGTAGGATGTCGTGTCGGTGTGTAGGACTGGCAGATGTAAGTTTGAACACTTCCACCCTTTCCAGGTGTGCTCTTTGCTGGGGTGACATGAGCACAGATAGATGGTGAAACGCATCCAGGATCTCTATGTCTAGAGAACAAAGCCAAGGGGCTTTCCAACTGAGCTTTTACACCCACCACAGGGCTTTGACCTCCTGATCGAGGACCTCCATCTAAGACAAAGTCGCCTGCATTCATGGAATCTGTGCGTTTGATTTTTAGCTTGGGAAGTCCTGATGTTTGCATTTCCATTTCTACTTGGTAGGTCAGGGGATTTGGAGTACCTGTGCACTTTTGGCTACGTCTTGCTGGGCCTCTCGGGGTTGAAAATCGAGGAGAATCATTTCCATACCCTAAACGAGCCGCTGCCTCCCTCTGTTGGCGGTCAGGGGTCTGCCTGAAGCCATAGGTCCGGCCAGGTGTGTCTTTGGAAGGCACACGTCGTTTAGGAGAGACTGTGTTTGACAGATAGTCTTCACCAGACAGTGAAGACTTCCTTGAAAAGCTTATGTTCATCTTGAGGCCTCCACTAAACTGAGTCTTCACAACTGCTGCATCAACAATGTCTATACTGTCATCATCTGTGGTGGCAGACTTACCATGAGAAGAGTCAAACTGCTGTGAATCTGTATAGGAGCTGGAGTCAGTTTCAGAGGACTGAGAGGTTTCAGCCTGCATCTCTTCATTTTTATCTGACTGCATGTTTTTTTCCACAAGGTCACAGTTCTCAGCAGATTCTGTGTTTAGATTAGAGGAAACATCCTCACTAGACTGGGATCTTAAGCTTTGTCTCGTGATTCTACCCCCTTGACCAGACCTTTTTCTTGCAAGGAATTTTGCTGACCTTACAGAAGCATCTGTCCCTTCTGAAAGAGTAGTACCTCCTTGTGGTGTAAATACTGGCTCACACGGGGATGCAGTGTTTGAATTCTTTCCTGGAGTTCGTCCAGAGCGAGTAATCATTTGGTGAGTAGGACTAGGGGTAAAATTTTCAGTGCTAGTGGTTGGGTGAGGTGAGAGGTGATTGTCTGGAGGTGGTGTGGACTGTGGAAGAGGCATTTCCAGAAGACTAACAGTGTCACCTCTTTCAGGAGTACTAATGTTGTTGTGAGTGTTTTTAGAAGACCTCTGATTTTCTTCTGGATTTAAAATGTCACTGTTTTCTTGTTCAGATATCCTCATGAGGCTTACTTGACAAGTCTTTTCAAGGCTCTTGAAAATATCTCTTTTAGTGTTTGTGCTTTTGACAGGACTCCTGAACTTGTCGGGTGTTTTCACCTGTCTCAGAGAACTGCTGGATGCAATACAATGCGACTCTGGTACTTTAAAAGTAGCACTGTTTTCCACTACTCTACATTTTCGAGGAGAGGGAGACCATGTGACACTCTTCTTGGGAGTCCTGGAAATGGGGCTATTGAACAGATGTAATCCAGCAGAGGAGCTGCATTCAAGCAAAGCCTTGACTGGAGTCCTGAGAATTCCTTTCAGAGGACTCCTCACAGGGTTTTGCTTAGTAGGTGTTTGTACAACAAGAGGTTTTCTGGCTGGAGATCTGAAAGGACTGCCCCTCAGAGCCATACCAAGTGACCCAGAGCTGCCTGCTACAGGACTCTCTGCAACTGAGGAAACACACATTGTAGATGAAGGCGTGGTTTTGAAAGTTCTTGGGGTTTGAGGGGTCCTGGGTGTCCTGGGTGTCCTGGGTGTCCTGGGTGTCCTGGGTGTCCTGCTCATAGTCCTCCCATGTTTGCTGGGTGACTTTGTCGGTGTTTTGTTTGGGCTCTAAAAAAAAACAACAACAAAAAAACAAGACATTATTTGGATCACATTTGACATAAAGGTAATTTAATTCTTAGTGTAGCATGTTAGTACGATGAGAAGGTAAGTAGATAAATGCATGCAGTGTTTGTTGAACCACCAATTGCACACATAAAAAATCCAAATATTAAGTTTGACTCATGTAGGTAATTTGTGTTGTGACAATGATGTATATGTCAGTACTCATTCTGCACTAATCTGCAAACATTGAAACCGGTACAGCTACTAATGTACGGGAATAATTTGTGAACTGAATTGTTAGATGTAGAAGTTACCTCAAAGACACTGGAATCTGTAGACAGCCGTGATCTGGTTGCCCTGGTTGTACCAGACTGGTCAGAATGACGATTGGGGGAATCAGCTGCCCCAAAAAGAAGACGCATCGGAGACCGAACTGTTTTTACATTAACCTCACTGATTTTTCCATCACTGAGAGTTAGTTGGGAAACTGAGAGAGCTCTGTCCAGGTTGCGTGAGCGAGGCTGAGAACTTGAGTAGAAGATGCTTGAGTGTCTTCGAGCAAACTTCTTTATCCTCGGACTCCTTCTGAGGTCTGACAGAAAACCAAAGTACAAAAAAACAACAAAAAAAACAGTAAGCTGTAGGTAATGCTTTAATTCTGTAAAACTGCACAATTTTTAGAAAAAAAAAATGACACAAAACTGTCAAAAATGTCAAACCCTCAAAAAGACTTAAAAGCAATTATATTCAATTTCTAAATTAAATATGTGTAATAAAGTCAATTGCTGTGTACAATACTAAGCTGATAAGTCATTTATTTCAATCCAAATAATTGTAATTTCTATTTTATTTTACAAATGAAGACATTGAATTTTCTAACAAAGAACCTCCAGATTCTTGCAGTTCTTAAAAACAAATCTGATTTCAAACCTACTTTTGTACATACAGACTAATACAGATTATGTATTGTACATTCATGCAGAAATTTTACACGAAAAAAACAAAAAAATTAAATACCTTCTGCAGGTTTTACAGGTGATTCTTCCACAATGCACTCCTCATTCAGAGCAGATCTCCTGCAAAAACATCAAAATAACAGTAAATAATTTGAGTTTGGAGTTATTAGTTACTGATAAGAACTTTGAAAACATACAATTCTAGTCCAAATGAAGAAATTGCTTTTGAACAAATATCAGTAAGATAAAATAAAAATAATGATAACTAAAACATACCTTCCCATTTTCTGCCGATGTAGGAGTCGACTGAACACTTGCTTGTGTGCAGGAGTCTCACACACTTTCCTTGTTAGAAGCTTGTGGTTCTCTGAAACTGCAGAATTTATATTTATATTTATATTTATATTTATAATCATTTACCAAAACTATTGATAGAATTAAAACTTTTTACTTTGTTACTGTCAGTCTAACTAACAAGGAAAATTCTAATACCAAGTTGCTTAGTAAAATACTTAAATCTCCTATATATCAAAAGTTACTACAACACTTGTTAAAGGTAATGAAGAATTCTTCTAACCTTCAGATTCACGAGATCGCTTGCGTTTCCGTCCTTCCACAACAGACATAGACTGGCTCCTCGGCAGCTTTGCTTTCTTTGAGGGGGAAACAATCTCTTGGTTGAACAGGTTTCGTCTCACCTTCGTCACCTCTGTGGATCAGTACATGGTATGTTATTTTTTAGGACTGTAATGTCAGCATCTGTGTGAAATGCTATGCATGTGTTACTGCCCCCAAAAATGTATCTTTCGATTATAAAACAATCTCTGCCATGTCAGCTTGAACAGAGAGAATAAAGGGTTTGTAGCTTGTTTTTGTGAAAAAGGAGATATTGGCATCAACTTGAGCTCGGTCATTCCCAGTATCTTGTGCTCTTTAAAGGTTCAAAGTAATGGGCTTTAAGCCACATTTTGGCAAAAGTATAAGTGATCCAACCCACTGAACAATTCAAGGTACGGCAGAAGTATGAATTATTCCATCTGTTCAAATAGAAGTAGTTTGAGTTTTCAGAGAATGTTTTGGTGTGTAAAATGAATTCCAGACATCCACAGTCACTGTTGTTTTATAAGGTGCCAACTACAAAATCTTTACAGCCAAACTCATACAGGTTCCTTTATGATATATAGAACATACCTTGTGTTTCTTGTTTCTGAGGTTGTGGTTCTGCAGCAGGTTTCTCCAGAGCAACATAGACCTTTGATTTGGACTAATGAAAACACAATAAACAGGTATCTGGATTAGACATCTTAAATAAACATGAATTGAAATCTCAGGTGTCTTACATGGGTGGTGGTCTTCATACAGACAGCCAAAGTAGCACATTTAACAATGTTGACGCCTTTGGAAGACTCTAATCAGGACTAAACCCAACAACCAGAAGGACTAATAAAGTTGATCGTGCTTCATGGTAATTCAGTGAAGATATCAGAAGTGATCAACTATCTTACAGCTTTTTTAGTCTTCTTGGGCATCTCTATTTGGCGAAGACTCTGTGATGATTCCGTCATACTGCGATGACGAGTCAGCATTCCACACCTAAGTGGAAAAAAAACGCATTACATTTTGGACATACCTTACAATACGAAGTATTGAGTAAACAGAAACACTCAAGCCGTGTCTCAATATGCGTACTTGTCCGTACTTGTGTTCTTGCAGACTTGTGAAACGCCATCAGTCGGAGACCAAGTTCTGTCCCAATTCTAAAGACTTGTGTGGACTTCAGACAGCCAAGTATCCCAGAATGCATTTCACGCTACCCAGCAGCAAAAGCCGAGGAGAAAACTTTTAACGGTAACACAGGCTTTTTTGTAAATGCTATTGTTATTGTGACACAAACTGTAGTTTTATGATTATTTGAGGCGAGAAAGCAGTGGTATAAACGCCAAATATGTTGTCATTTTATCACGATAAAGCCTGCTTAAAATTTTGCTCCGACGACTTCGGAGATGTGAGTGTCACGGTTTGACAGCTGTGTCAGTGCTCACAGTAGCCTCCGAGCGCAGCCTGATGTCGGCAAGACTCTGAAGTCTGCCGCTGACGGCTCCGTAGCGGTTAAACAGGGATAGAAGTTAAAGTTAATGTTGGAACTTTATATTTTTATTTAGTGTTGTACTCGATCACTGCCTCAGTACGTCTGAATTATTCTCCTGCTTTCATTACCTGGAGTACAGCCTTGTTCTATTCCTATGACTGTGACTGTGCATTAAAAATAACATTTAAGCAATGTTTTAGTGGAGGGCCAGCTGGATAAATGTCCTCCTGACTGCTGGGAGACTCCCCAGAACATGAGCAGCTCCATCCTGGACCTTCTGACGGAGCATCTGTTTCCAGCTCCACTGAAGAACATCAGGAGGAACAGAGGCACAACGTTTTTCATCTGTGATATGTTTTGTAAGAGACTTTTGTCCTGTTATAAAATAAAATCTTATAAAAAATTACCCTGTTTATTAATTGTTAGTGCCACGGGCTTACAGTGTGCTTACATACAGTTTTAAAAAAACGCATTTTTCGCGACGCAATTCGCAAAAACGTCACAAAAATCTCCCATTGAAAATGAATGAGACGGAAAAGAAAACTGCCCAAAATTACACTACTTTTCAAACCTCCACTGCTCAGGCATACTTTCACCTAGAGACTCCATTTAAACTTTAAAATGTTGACACGGCCTTCCCCTATGTCAAAGCATTTCTACTTTTTTCATATCTTTAACCGTTTCTTCCTGACAGCCTCTCATGTTTTCAAACTTTTTCACCCCTTTTCAGCCTTTACAATGGGTGTGTATGTGGTCCTTTAGAGGGAGTGATGACATCACTAGAGTGAGAGCTCAGAAAAAAAATCACACAGTAAACTTAAACTTAAAACTTTTTAACTTGTCGCCCTGGCCACAATTTTTATGCCACAGACATCATTTATACATCAAAATGTAGGAAAATTTGTCCTCCCTCTCACAATGTCACTTTGGAATTGTATTTCATTTAATTTCGTTGTTTTTCATGGTAAAGATAATCAGAGTAGATGAGCCGAGGTGGTGACGTCATCGAGTACGCTGCTGTCCCAATTGCACATAAACGGTGATGCGTTCTTCCGGACTTGCTAGACCGTACTCGTGACCACAGACTAGCGAGTACAGACTTGCGAGAACGCAAGTACGGACTTGTGTACTTGAGTTTTGAGACACGGCTTCAATTACTATGTTTCCATTCCAGAGACATTAAAATAGCAATATTTTCATTCAAATGTCTCCTCTTTATTGTGGTATCGAAGATTTGTTGTTTAAATTTCAGGCCCTTCTCGACTTTCTACAACCAGACAGTGTCTTTCCAGCCAAAGTGCATCGTGCCATTACCTCCTCTTGTTGGCTGAACGATTTCGCAGGTCCTGCAGGCCATCTGAAACCAGGCTGCGTGTGGAGGGGGTAGGTGAGGTGGCTGAAGGTGAAATACTGTCCTTGACAACTGACTCGTCGCTGAAGAAGTCATCGGGCAGAGCAGCCACTAGAGCCTCAGGGAGCTGGGTGCCTAGACTGTGGTAGACGTCTGCAAGCACTCTGGGGACAGCAGTCAGGAACCTGACATGATGCAGAAAAGCTATTGTTAGATTCTTATAACTTAGTATGAAATATTTAGTTCCTTTAAAAACCAGTGTTTCCCTGCAAAATTGAGGAACTTGACAAACCGTTTGCTATGACATATATGGCAACTATTTTTGTTTTCTTAGTATTGACTCTGACAAGTCATCAATAACTACTGATTCATCTTTTAAAAAGAAAATGATAAAGGAAAGTATGCTTTTATCATACTTAACTACTGTAGTCTTGTGGTGTAATACAAGAAAAATCTCACTGCGGCAGCCACACACACTTACCCTGGGAGAAGCTCATCTTGGAGGAACCTTGCTAAACAAACTGGATCTTTTGTTAGGGAGATTATCCTCAGCATTTCAGCCATCTGAGGAAGAGGAGAGGTTACAATTTACTTGTCGATCTGTTATGCAGCCAGTTAAAGACACACACTGTTCTTTGTTTGAAATAGATAATAGAAAAAAATAGATGAAATGCTTTTCAATTTAACTGAAAATCTTGTTTTATGATTACCTAACGGAGGCAATCAAATAAATATGGCCTGCTTCTATTCAGACATTTGCCACATTTGACCACTTTAACTGTGTCAGTTAAAGAAGTTAAACAACAGCAACTGGCCAGAAACGGATTGTTCCCAAGAGTGCCTTAATCAGAAAAACGCCTATTTCTCATCAGTATTGTGTAAAAAAGAATGGCAGGGCTCGTTTGTAAAGAGAACTACACATCCTGAAGCCACAGTAAGTCTTCTATTTATTTACATTAAACAACAAAAAAAAGGTAATGAGCACTGTACCTCCTCTGCCATCTGATCAACATCAAGTGAGTCAGTTTGTTTTGAGGAGAAAAGTTTGCACAACTCCAATCTCAACACCACCTGGAGCTGGCACCTAGATAAGACAGCCTTTGTTAGTGACACCTAAATATGTCTTCATTTTAGAACAAAGTAACTTTATTATTATCGTATTAAGTGTTGGAAATCACTCACTCTCTGACTTTGCTATCAACATCAGCAGACATTCCATAGAGCTGTCTGATTGATTTGCTTGTCTTGAGGAGGTGCTGTTGAACAAACAGGGAGGTCTTTGCCTAAAAAGAAAACATATATAATCATCAGTCTGCTGTAATGGTTCATATTATCAGGCAGAGTATCTCAATGTATTTGAAAGCTACCATGTGTCCCACCTCCAAATCTGATTCTGCTACAAAGAAGTTTTTAACAGCAGACAAAAGTTGCTGGGCGCCTGTCAGGAGAGACGAGTCTCTCTCTGCCACAGTCTTCTCATAACTGGACTTCAGATGACACAGCAGCTCTGCTGCACTAGTGAAACCTGGGCAAAGAAGAAGGTACATTAGTTGATTTCTCAGCATATAAACGGGAATAGTTCAACTGACATTTTGGAAAATATATATCTTTACATTTTTGCTGAGATTATTACATTTGACAGATGAATATTTGAGCGACTGTATTGTAAGTTTTAACAGGGGCACTCACTAAAAGTGCTGGCTCCTCCAGATTTGTTCCTGTCACTTGATCGTCTCTTCGCTGGTCTGTCTGCCCCCTTTCCCTCAGTCCCCAGATGTTCAACCTCTGCCTGGGTCTTCTGGGCTTTGACATTAAGGCGCGCCACATTCAGCATCTGCAAGGAACGACTCATGGTCTTCATCTTCTGTTTCACTGGCGTACACTGGGCGCCACCTATAGATAAAGAAAGGCCATGATACAGAACAAAAAAATAAAACCAGCAGTGACATTAAGGACAATATAGGACAATGAAAAATGATAGTTTAAACTAATGATAATATTTGTGATTCAAAATGTCTGAAATTTGACTATCTTCATTATTTTCAGGGAAGGTAAATAATATACACATAAAAATTACAATGCAGTTCACTTACGTTTCTTGTCCCTGTTGTCTGAGTCCTGTGATGTCTGGTACAGTCCAGCCAGACCACTGATCAGCTCCTGCTGCAGGACTGATAACTCCTCCTCCTCTTCCTTCTGCTCTGGCACTGCATACAGCAACCTGTTTAACAGTAGAAGGACGATTACAATTTATTATTTTGAGCTAAAATATAATATATATAATTAACATTTTAAAAAAGGCACTAAAATACACACACAATAGTGTGAAATCTTTACACACAAATAGTACTATTAATAGCAATAGAAAAATTGTGAAATATAAATTCCTGTACCCCATTGACTCCATTAAATGAGAGGTCACTCCTGACTGGTCTGACTGGGGGAACCAACTCCCTAATGTGCTTGTTGTCAGTTGGCTATGGCTGAGTTCCTGCAGAGCCCACTCAGGAACTGGCTGATCCTCTACTTCATCTGAGGAATAAACAAATACAAACAAATGTTGAACAATCCAATTATGTACATCCTGACAACAAAATAGCTTTTTATTATCAGATCCATTTCACTGCCTTCATTATTTCTAATTTCAATATTGTATTCACAAATGAGGCACATTAAATGTAAACATCTTCAATTAGACGTCAAAAAAAGACTACTGAACATTGTATTTAAAACAACAAATCAAACTAGTACATTTTGTTTACATGCATATTTGACAGAACTATTGATACATTTCAGGCAGAAAATGTTGCAAAAACAGCAACATTATTCTTATCATATCCAAAATAATACAGGACTTTGTAAGCTGATATTGAGATCAGTATATCAGTAGAAAGACCTGACAATAAATGGTAAATTATATAAACAGCTTGACCTGGATCACTTGGATTTGTTTTACAAAATAATGTACAGTTGATTCAAACAGTCTTTAGATTAATGTTATCCATTTAATTTATTCACTTATTTACAGAAGTATTTAGACCCTTTGCTGTGGAAGTTCCAACAACAAACAATTCTAAGGAACCACCTGTAGAACATCAAGAATAAACTGTTCCAAGTCAAAGATCAGGATGAGGTATAAAACATTACGAAAATGTTCAGTGTTCCCAGGACCACAGTGGCCTCAATATTTGTGAAATAGAAGATGGTTGGAGCCACCAGGACTTTACAGAGTTGTCTATTTGGCCAGCATGAGTAACTAAGAATGAAGTGTCACAGCTCAATAGGTCCAGGAAGATGACGTGGAACTCATAATTCTCTGCTTTCACAAACATTCTGTTTTCAAAAAGCCTTTTAAGAACATGGCGGATTTGAATGATGCGTTTGGCAGAAAGCAGGAGAGAATTACAAAGCTGTAAAGGTACACAAAAACAAAGTGGAAAGGGACATTTCTGAGAACATTGTTCAAAAAACAGCTGTGAAGTTGGTAAGACCAAAAGGGCATTACAAGATATAGTCAGTTTTCCACTCTGATTCTGACCCAGTGGCAGGAGCTTCTTAAATCCAGTTTGGTAAAGACCTTTCAGTTCCTTAAAGTGAGTCAAAGGCTGAGAAATGAAAGGCAAGCAGTATTTGTTCTTCATAGTGATGTTGCTAAAACAGGGACGTCAACGCAAAGATGGAGGGTGCCATCTGGGGGGCATCAAAAGTTCATCTCTTAGCATGACCATAGCCCAAATTTAACCTTATCTGTAGAGAAACCTAAAGATGGCAGTTCAGAGATACTTACCATCCAGTCTGTTGGTACTTGAGGGGATCTACCAGTAAGAATGGGACAAACTGCCCAAATTCAAGTATGTTAAGATTGTGGAGACTGGAATGGGTGCAGAAAACTGCAAAAATGTTCATGTTTCCATGTTGTAGTTATGGATTATTGAGTGTCGACTGATGGGGAAAAAAATGGAAAATTGTGATAATTTATAATTAAATATACAATACAAATGGTGAAAAACACTTCTAAATGACTTCTTCTTTGGCATATCTGACCTGAAGCAGCCAACATATAGAGTGAAATCAATACATATGAGCTCTAATACTTACCACTGACGGTATCAGCATCCTCCTTCATGATGTCATACACTACTCCCAGAACACTGCTCACTACATCTGGGAGGTCAGCAGAAGTTTCAGCGGTGGTGAGGGCAATATTTTCAGTGGTCAGGATCTGGTCCGGGTGAGTGATTACAGGCTGGAGAACGGTCAGCAGAGCTGTGGAGTGAGACAACGGGGAGAGGACAGCCGGGTACACTAGTCCATTGTCATTTACCTCAGCAAGCTGGGGGAACAAACAAAAGATGGAAAAAAGGAGTAAAGTTGAATCAGTAAATAGACACAGAAGACAATAAAAGATGAGATTGAAATAAATAAATAAATAAATAAATTCACATATTTGTGTAAATGATTCAGCCATCTGAAGGCTGGTTCATATTCCAACCAACCCTCAGTCCCCCTACCAATTGATTGATGCAAAAATTTGACACATACTCTTGATTTGTTGATGATGGCATCAGCAAAGCTTTATATATAAAACTTATCAAAAGCATAGCAAAAGCAAATGCTTTATGGTTAACACTGCAACAGAGCCTGTACTGTTCTGTATAACTGAAACACAATATGCATAGAGTCCCTTTCTTGAGTAAAAAAAGAACTGCTGTGTTTGTCTCACCATGTGCAGAGCATAAGCAGACAGTTCCAATAAGAGATGCTGGAGGGCAGCAGCTGCCTGGTCAGTGCTACTGGAGCACTGAAGCACCCATGATTCTGTTGAGGTCTGTGTCAGCGATGAAGCATCCCAGCCCTGCAGCACTCCTTTCAGACACACTTCAACAGGCTCTGGAAGAAGCCTCTGTCTGCGAGACACTGGCTCCGCCATGACACCACATATCTGTGTCATATTTCCTGGTTTGGTAAAAAAAAAACAAAAAAACAACACAAATGAATAATGGCTAGTCATTTTTAGCCTTATGTTTAATGTACCTAATTTCCTTTTCCTGTCATCTCATATAATTTACTGTTTGACTAGGTCCAAGCTTAGTTGTGTTTATAATCTTGATTTGTTTCTTTGGACACAAGACATGAACTTGCTTCCTCCTTATCTGAATATGTATTTGCTTGTATCCTGTGTTTCTTCAGGGAAGATGTGCATTTGCTAACAAAGTAAATTCAAGACAAAAGAAGGATGAGCACAAGTACCCTCATGATTATTTAGCATCTACATTTAAACTGTAGATTACACAAATACTTCAACCAGCTGCTCTACTCTCGGGCATGTTTGAGTCACAACAGATTAAGGATACAAAACATTCAATTACTGTGATTCTTATTAGAATAATCCAACACTACATCTTAAAATTTCGAGGTCAGTCTGCACTTTGCATCTTTTCTCAGTAAACATAACTATTTACACCATAGTTTAGAGAACCACTGTAAGGATGGTAAGCTGACTGTGACTATCTCAGTTAATATAGAGAATGCATCTATTAGAGTACAATAGAGTTTTAGAGTACCTATTAGACTGAAAAAAATGCACACCGATCTAAGTTCAGTTTGCATTTATTAAAGACATTGTCACTGGCTACCAACCTTGCTCCCATCGCAGAACACCACCTATGACAGGAAAAGCCAGACGGTAGAGCCTTTCAGAAGACAGCAGGTATTCAATGCTGGACTTGAATGGAAAGGCCTCCCTCATCAATCCTGAGTCTGGCTTGTGGTTGCAGCAGAGGTTCAGCAATGCAACCACAGGGATCACTCTGCCACCCACCTGAGCTAGAGCCTCACACAGCTTATCAGAGCCAAAATGGTCATCACACCTCACAACCTGCAACAATACAAACAGTCAGAGTTGCTTACACTTGTGTAGCAGGGATTTTGGCAGGTATACATTTCAAAATCCCAATACCTTTGATTGATCTCTATCTATCTATCTATCTATCTATCTATCTATCTATCTATCTATCTATCTATATTCATACCATGTATAACTGTATTTGTGACCAATAAAGGCCTTGAATCCTTGACCTTGTTACATGTTTACAAGACTCAGTAAGGTTTGGGTTAATGTCTTGATTGTGCATTTGTTTAAAACATCACCACATTTTATTAAAAAGTTCCTTTTTCTGCAACATGGATGGTAAACAGGCTTTTTTAAACCATGGACCAAGTATATCAGGAAAAAAAAAATCTATTGTTGTTGTCAGACTAAAACCGTAATTCCAATTTGTATAGCTTTTTCTGGTATCAAAGTACAACACAGCATTAACAACATAAAATAGGAGGAGACAGTGACAAGTTGATCAATTATAATTGTCATGATAAAGACTTTGTTTATAACCACAGTCCCGAAACTAAAATAGATTCAATATCTTTTCATTGCACCAATATTCTTAAAACACTTAGTTTGTGAAAGTATTGATTGTGAAAATGGATTACTGTCAGCTGTATGTTTTTGTAGGTGATATTCTGTTAAATAATAATACTATAAAGCCGCTGTACTCACCTGGATATGTGATCTATTGTCAATCCAGTGGAGGACAACTTTTCGCTGAAGCAGCATATCATGAAGCCCCTTGGATAGAATATACTCTGTCACATCTGCAGGCAGGACATTGTCTCTCAAAGATAGATAGTCCACAAGTTGCGTCTTAGAAAGTGGACACTGTGAGACAATAAACACCACATTCCTCCCATTGCTTGAAATGTCATCTTCCTGTGACACACTGGGCTTTCCAGCACGGCTAGGCTTCCTGGGTCTCAGGGACAGTTTGGTGGGTGAGGTGATGTCTGGTCTGTCCCACTGGAAGTCCAACAGGGTTTCTTTAAGCGCATTTTGAACTGAAGCACACTGATTCGGTTGTTGCTTGTGTTGAGAAGAGCACGCTTTATCCTTCACGTCAAACTTCGCTTCAAACTCTTCTTCAAAGTCCTCAAATGTTTTGCGCCGAAGCTCCTTGAAGTCTGACACCCTCGATACGAGACTGGCATTGCGACCAGTCCTAGACTCAAAGAATTTATAACCCCAGCGAACTTTCTCAAATCCATATTTGTAGCCGAAATGCAACAGAATGTGTAAAACTCCCCGTTTCAAGAAATGATTCCTGACATCCAGTTGATCGCCGGAGTCGTGATCTCCATAATCCACATCGATAACAAAAACCAAGTTGTGCACAGCCATACCGTAAACTGCAAAGGCTCCGAAGAAAGTGAGTGGCTCCTAAGCCCTCTACTCAACGATATGCCATGAAAAAAGGTCACTCTTGATCAAATATAATCCAGCACGCTGTCACTATCTTAACAAATTTGATCCAAGTTATTGTTCATTGAGTGTGGGCTCAGAGACGCCATTTACAGTTGACGTTAGCTCACTTCATGCTTCCAACCTGATGGCTAACAATCGCAAAGCTAACATAAGTTAGAAACGAGCATCAGCTAGTGTGACATTAGCTTGTCGTTCACCTTTGTTTACAATAACACAACACTCACGGCATAAATGAAGGTCGCTCGAACTTATTCAGGTGATATTATGAGTGCTTAAAATGTCAATTTAAGGTTACTCGCATACCGTAACTCAATATTCGCCATTTTATCCGAGAAGTCTGCCCTTAACCGTTCGCGCTAGTTGAACCAGAGCCCGCCCCCTCACTCTGATTGGCTACATCCTGCAACAACGCCAATCTCATTGGTCCTAACTGGTTACACGTCACTAGGTCTGACGGTAATTTTGTATTGGGCAGATGATCTGTCAATCAAATTTGCTCCGACCTATACTTCACGAAATGGGACACAAGAAGAGGCAGGAGAGTAAAGGATCATTTATTTAAAGCTGCTCGTTGTTGTTAGTGCATCAAGATCAGAGAAATACGCTTGTCACATAACTAACAATGTACTGCTCTTTTAAGCCAGGAACACTTCAGTATCTAGTAACACACACAAAAAGTGTCATATTGCTTTATTCTTTTTTAATCTGCAGAAGTAATTAAATTAGTTGCAAAGCAATTCTTTCACGTTATTTCTCCTCGTGTTACTTGTTCAGTTATTTCTCGTTATATGAAAAACATTTACTATGCAATTAAAGACTGACGTAAATAATCAAAAAGTGTCTGATACATAACAAATATTGTACAAATGTAATGAAAAATAGAAAACCACAAATATACATAATTTGGACCTAGAAAATTTGTGAAATTTTTTGACCTTCACAATGACACTTGGCAGACAACAGTGCATACACTGGACACAGATCCTTGAATCTTTGAGTATTCAAAGATTAAAGCTTACCTAAAAATAAGCTTTAGGTAAGACATGACCTACATTTCAATGACATTTGACATTGATAATTTTGACTTTAATGTGTACTACTTGATTTCAGCCTCCTGCTCTGTGTATGCATAAAGTGAAATTCAAAAATGGGCAAAGGATACAGACAGTTTGAACTGATCATTATTTACTTACTGTGTTGTGCCAAGTAAAGCAGTGAGAAGCAGAGCTTGGCATCCTCAACCCTTCATATCTTACTGCCTAAAATGGAAAAAACTCTCATTCAAAGCAAGATCTGGCTTTGATCTGGATGTCTGGAACGTCTCATGTTTTTTTTTTTTTTTTTTTAAAGTTCCCTCAGGTTTTAAGTAAAGTCGCACTGTGTCCACTATAAATATTTAGACTGATATTTTGATATACTGACATATCATTTGTTTTGTATGTGTGTGTGTGTGTTTTTTTTTTTAAATTTGCTAATGAATCAGGTTACCACATTGCATAGTCACTGAGCATATACACTGATCATGCGCAACATTATCATTTTGTTTTGATCCCTGACATGCTGACTAAAAGGTTCTGAATCATTGGGCATTGACACAGAAGTTCTGGGGGTGTCCTGTGGAGTCTGGCACCAGGACATTGGCCGTGGATCCTTCGGCTTCTCAGGGTTGTGCGGTGGAGTCTCAGTGGATCAAGTGCATCCAGTGGATGTTTGATTGGATTATGACCTGGGGATCAACACCTTGGGCTCTTTGTCATCTTCCTCAAGCCATTGCTGAGTAGTTGAACTGTTGTCATGGGGAGGTATACTTGATCCTGAACAATGTTAGGTTGGTGGTACATGTCACAGTAACATCAACATGAATAAAGGTTCCAAAGTTTCACAGCAGAACATCGTAACAGGATGACCAGTGTCACTGAGTTCATCTATCAGTCATTTGAATATTATCACTAATATATATATATTGTACTTATTTACATTACTATCGCCGACTTCATTAAAACTTTAGAAGCAGCTACAACCAAAATCCTTGAACTGGCATTATCATCTTGAAGTACATGGATCCAGCTTATCTGTTCTTCAGATAATAGACAGTATAAGTGTAGCATCTCTTTCCTCCTGCCTGCGGGGCTGGAGGGCAAACCAGAATAAGAAAGATTTAAGGAAAGAACACTGGGAGAGGAGATACAGTATATAGGTCACCGTCTGTTTTGCATCCATAATCACCTCTTTTTTTTGTAGCACCAGGGGGAGATGAAGAGCTTAGAAACGAAGCTTTGAAATAGAGAGACAGAGATGAAAGAAACATGCTGAATGTTCTGGACTCTGCTTTCTTGTCCTACCAGACTGCTTCTTCATTATGTCTTGAGACCAGGATGTAGGTTAGGGATGCTATTGGGTGCATGCAGCTGCTAAGATGAGTTACACACTTTCATACAGATAATGGATGTAAAAATAATGTGTGCACATGTGCTGCCACTGTTGACTCAACACCGGATGTCTTTTTCAGGGGTTAAGTAACTGGAGTCAGGAAGGGTTGTTGTAAATATTACCAATAGTAAAGAAATATTTTGACCAGCAGCTTGTCTTGATCTGAATACAGGGTTTTCAGTGTTGTTGCAGTGCAGTATTACCAGTGTGATGGTAGAGACAACAGTGTTCATGCTGTCTGCCTCCCTGTTGGTAGGTTCAACAATCCAGAATGAAATATATGAACAACTATTAGATTTGGGCGTCAACATTCCTCATTCATAGCAGAAGAACCTTAAAACCTTAACTTTTAAATCATAAGTTTACCAATTCAGTGCTTCATGACTGGATAAAACTCATGGCATAGTTCCTGTTATATTAAGATTCAGCCAACTAAAGTCCAGCTGATGGTGCATTCATGGCATATCAGGGTTACGAATGTTTTGGTTTCCAACTTGTAAATACCATTTATGTAAACATCCAATTGGTGAACAGAACTTTTGAACCAGAAGTTTATATTTTATGAAAAGTGTAATACATTTGACCTGGCACAGCGGTCATACAAACAAACATGGATTCGCCACATAAGCTGAAGCCCATCAATTAAAGAAACAACAACTTGTTTGATGCTAATTTTCCGAATGCACTCACTTCAGTTTGTCATTAGATGTAAAATCAGTATTTGTAAGCTACTTAAGATATATTTCAATTTTTGATCCAGCCATTTCTTCTTTCACTTTTAGGCATTTGGTCTTGTTTTATTTTTTAAATATTAGATTGGTCAAAGTATTAAGCAGCTAGTTTTGGATTTCACAGCATTCCTCAATTGACCGAACTAAACCAGGCAAGTGCCCATTATATATCTACTGAGATAAATGTCAATAGATTCATAAAAAATGCAATTAGGGCAAGCCAGAAAGGAAACAGTACGAACACACAATGCCACGAACAGGTTGCTTACCATAATGTTCTCCAGGCTGTGGGTGGAATCACTGAGCGGATGCTTTCAACGTGGCAGTGAGGACCCTTGTTGCAGTGCAAGTATTGTACCAGATATTATTCATGCAGACCACTTGGTGAGTGCACATCCCGAGAGTAGCCTTGTCAAGATGTAAATGACATATTTATAATTTACTTAAATGAAGTGGGACAGTCTTCGCTCAGTCCAATTTAGCAGACCTTTTCTGGTCTTACTGCTCCTAAAAACAAACCTCTCTGTCTCCATAAATGTGTCTCCTGGCTTCTGTTTGTGTTACAAACAAGGCAAACAGCCAACTTGTTTTGGGAGCATTTTGTTCTTGTTTTGGTGACATTTTGTAATTATATGTCCTCTCCAGAGTGCTTTCCAAATTAATTTAATCTGGACTTGATTGACAAGAAAGATCTCAAATAAAATCTAATTATGTTGGACCAACAATAAAAAGAGAATAAAACAGGCATATTTTATTATATATAAGCCTTGAAAGTGCAAAAGTTGTTTTATGTTTCTAGGCTACATTCACATTTCTCACACCCATCATTGTTTCTATCTCAAAGCCCAGTTAGAGCTCTAATGATTCATTAGGAAGCACTGTTTTAACTTTAAATAATGTGTCAGATGGTAGTTCACATGGTAAGAAATCATAGCTGCCTGCTGTTCAGTTAGAAAAATCTCCACGTACGCTTTAAATGCTGATCAACTTCTCATGTGCTTTGAGAGGATCAAATCAGATTTAGTAGAGTCAGAAGTAAATGGATAGATTATGGTTTCTTGTAAATCTGGACTTCCTAATCACTTTATTACCTAATGTTGCAAATGACTGAATATAACTACCAATGTTAAAACACATCCTTTTGTCTTTTTATTTAATAATTATGCGCCAGCGTTCTTAATTGGTATTTCCTACTGTATTGTACATATACAGCGTACATACAGCTAGTATTGGCAGTTATGAAAAACTTGCACTTTTTTTTAAGTACCTGGCAGGTATTTGACTTTAGGGAAAGAACAGTGATTAGTAATTACACAAAAACACAATTTAATCTTTTATCTTGTAATATAACCATTTATTCAGGGGTGACTCACATGCATCCTCGCACTAAGTGCCTCCTATTAGTTCTGATGTGTATGGAGTTTACTTTGCACCAAAGTTTTGAAGTCTTTGGGTATTGATACCAAATATATGATAAGAAGAAAAATGTTTTCTTGTGTTTGTATGAATCGAGGTGTATAATAGGAGCCTGTAGAAATCATTGTCATTTCAATAGCGAACTTAAAGCAGTCGTGTTTCCTATCAAACATCTTGGCATCTCACCAGTTTAATAATTAAAGTACATTGCTTGTTAGGTGACCAAAAATAGCATCTGTACAGTTTGTTCCATGTGCTACATTTGCTATTTATCGAATGATTGCCCTTTGATGCTATTGTGTCTGCTGCCAGGTTGTTCACAAGGACACTATGCACATCACAGGGTTACATGATCTCTCTTTGAACTCCTCTTTGCTGGTTTCTTGTTGATTCTAAGATTTAACTAATTGCTTTTAGGGATTAGCTGGGCCTGGTCCCTACTCCCAATCTTGAAAGGATTGAGGATTTAACCCTTAAGGGACTAAAGTACAGTCCCCAGACTAAGGTGGCATACCTTTATTGTTCAGGTACTCTTTCAATTTTGCATCTTAAAGTCCCAAAAAGAGTACCGTTAGTCCACAGGCATTTGTCAGAGTCTTCATAATTATAGAAATCAGTCATCTGGGCCAAATTTGGGTTACAGTCAGTCCTTATATAATGTATTTTCTTTACAAAACAAAGCATCTGTCTTGCA